TTTTTGTAAATAGGCAATAGGGTTCAGGTCTTCAAGAGCAACCCCACCCCAGAATAGCACACAGAAGGTCAAGCAGTCTTCTTTTCACAAAGGACAGTTATTTTTTAAATTTAATTTAATTTTTTATCACACTCATAGGCTCCTCCCTCCTCTTCTCCTAGTCCCACTCTCCCTCCCTCCGGCACCCCCCACCCAGACACCCCAGCTCATGTAAGGACTGAGTTCATCCTCCTCCCCTGTAGCCTGGTAGGGAAGTCCCATCGGGGGAAGTGATCAAAAAGCAGGCAACATAGTCTGTGTCAGAGATATCCCTCACTTCCCTAAGCTAGTGGACCCACCTAGGATGCCCATTGGGCTTATCTTCTTGGGGTCTGGGCATTGTAGTATGTCCAAATGACTGCAACTTTAGAAACTTTAGAAAAAGTCCTCAGAATTAAAAAACAAACAAACAAACAAAAACAGCATGTCCTTGGCAATATGTTTCAGAAAACTCTGTCTTAAATACCCTTTGATCAATGAATTTCACTATAGGAAACTGCAAGGAAATATTGGTGGCAAGATACAGCTACTACTGGGATTTTCTTGTGGGATCAGAGAAAGAAACCAAAAGGCAAACTTAAAACTCCAACATGAAGAAACTGGTTAACTGGACGTGGTGATGTAGGTCTCTAATCCCAGCACTGGGGAGACAGAGGCAGGCAGATCTCTGTGAGTTCCAGGCCAGCCAAGGCTACACAGTAACACCCTGAGAGAGAGAGAGAGTGAGAGAGAGAGAGAGAGAGAGAGAGAGATTAAATAGCCCCATGTGTTCTTCAGGATAAATTGTGCAGCAACTAAAATAATTTAGTGGAAGATCGTATAAATGCTTAGAAGAATTAATGCCATATAATTAATTACAGAAGTGGTTATGAAATGAGATGGCATCACTTCATTTTTAAAGAGAGCTGGTGAATGCATACAGAAATCTCCCGGACGTGCATGTGGTTAGTGCTCATCACCAGGTGGTGAGACCAGAGGTGTTAAAAAAAACATCTTTTTCTGGAGCCATCGAAACGGCCCAGCAGGTAAAGGCGCTTGTTACGTGGCTTGTGTTTGACCCCCAGGACCCACATGAAAGTGCAGAGAGAGAACTGACTCCTCCGTCTGCCCGACCCCCGCAGACACAATAATAACGAAAGATTAAAGCACCATTGTTCTAAGCTCACAAGCGTATGTGCTTTTTTTAGTATAATAAGGGAGAAATGTTAGAAAGCTTGAGACCCAGAGGCAGTGGCTATCAGGTGATAACTTTTGGGGGTCTTCCAGCCTGCCTCTGCTCTTCCGGTAGACACCAGCAGTGAAAGGATGCTTTCTCCCATCAGCCTCATGGGGCCTTGGAGCTCTTCCAGTTTTTCATTATTGTAGATAATGCCAGGATTATGATCATTATGTTGAAGGCCCCCCCCTTTTTTTTTTCTATTCTCAGTTATTTTCTCTGTGGTTTCCCAGAAGTGATATCACTGCATCAGTAGGTATGAATATTTTTGTCGATCACAATATGTACTTCTAAATTGCTTCTCAATGGGGCTGTACCAAAACATGTACCAAAACAGAAAGATCCTGCCAACGCAGGGGTTTATGATTGTATTTAGTGTGTGCTAATTTTACAGACGAAGAATGGCATTTCATTATTTTGCTTCAAATTGTCAGCTAAGCTGAACAGTTCTCTTTATAGATTGTTTATTTGCTGTATTTTTACTCATGAATTTCTCCATTTTTCTATTGGCATTTTTATATTTTCTTTTTCATCTTGTACGAACTCTGTCAGAAAGTAATGGTCCTTTTTCACGTTGTCCTGTCCTGGCTGAGGACATTTTTTTTTTTTTTTTCTGGCTGTTGTTTCCCTTCTGAGTTAGTGGGGATTTTTTTTTCCTTTCTATATTCAAGAGCTTTGAATTGTTATATAGTCAAACCTGTCACTTCTGTGATTTTCTTTCACATCTTCCAAGTTTAGAAAATTACTCTTCTACCCTTCAAGCAGCAGTTTGATAAATGCTTGCTTCTGTTTGCACCCAGGTTTTGTTTTAAGGTTGTTCTTTTCATAACTGCCTTTTGATTCATCGAGAGTCCAGTACACTTGTCCCCCCACTTACCACAGCTGAATCAAGCTTCCCCGATAATTAACTGTTACCTGCTTCTGCCATAAACTCATTTTTGTTGCATTGATAGGGCCCAGTTCTCACGGCTCGTTCTGCTCTATCCTGTATCAACTCAGAACACAAAGAGTTGCTTTGCTGGTTTAGGTTGTTTTTGTCGTTGTTTTGGGGATTTGTTTTTGGTTTTGGAGATAGGGTCTCACACTACAGTCCAAGCTTAGAACACATTGTGTAGGCAGGGCTGGGTGGCTTTGGTCTCTCAGTAATCTTGCCTCCGTGCTGAGGTTATGGCCTAAGCCACCATGCTCAACTTACAGTACATTTTAAATGAGCATTTCTTCAAACTGTATCTGATAGGGCTTCTCCTGCTTATAAATATGTATTTTTAAAGATGTATTTATTCTGGCTTTTCGATACAGGGTTTCACTGTGTAGCCTTGGCCGTCCTGAACTCACTTTGTAGACCAGGCTGCCCTGGAATTCACAGAGATCTGCCTGCGTTTGCCTTCCTGGTTTGGTTTGGTTCGCTTTTGGTTTTTTGGGTTTTTTGGTTTTTTGGTTTTTTGTTTTTTCGATCCCTGAGTGCTGGGATTAAAGGCACGAGTCACCATGTCAGGGTAGATTTACTTATTTTTATTCTATGTGTATGATGTTTTACCTGCTTGGATGCAGGAGCACCATCTTCATGCAGTACCTAAAGAGGCCAGAAGAGGGCATCAGAGCCCCCAGAACTGGAGGTTGTAAACCACCATATGGGTGCTGGGACCCAAACCTCCACCCTCTATAAGATCGACAGTTGCTCTCACCAGATAAGCCATCTTTCCAGCCCCATTCCCCTCTTTTGTTATTCTAAAGCATTTCCCCCTGAAATTTCCTTTGTGTCTGTCTGAATGTAAGCAAAACCCTCTACAAACTTAAGAAAGAGTTCATTTGTGGAGAGGGACCAAGTCTTTGCTTTGATATGACTGCTTCCCTTCTCAGTGGGGCAGGAGCTCAGAACACAGCTGTGCCTGTTCTCTGCCGGGGGCAGTTTCCCAGAGGGAGAGGCAGAGCCTCTCCCCATCAGGGTCCCCCCAAAGAGGGAACGGTATTAAGCCATCCATTCCCAATGAGACACGCACATGTTTAAGCAACAGGTAGTGATTTCACAGGGGTCAAGTTTGAAGCCCCGAGTCTGAAACTCCATTAGTGGGCCTGGGGGATGGGGAATGACACAGGCTACACGCCCTTTTCTGCTCTCACAGGGGCTCTGCGCTCGCCAGCATCCACCATCTGCCAGCGCTCCCGAAGCAGGCTCAGAGCAGAGAGCCTGTACTCCGCTCTGAGCCTGCTGTGGGCACACAGCAAAAACCCCCAGAAGCATCAAGTCAGGCAGCCTGCTGGCTTCTCCTGTTTCTCAGTGTTGCCAGTTTACCCTTCCTCGGTTTATAATACCAGCATTATCTTTACGTCACCCTCTGGTCTAACGGCATACTGCTAAGTGGACTCAGTCCCTGTGACTTTAGGATCTTTCCTAAGGATACCTGTTTACCTTATCTGTCTGTGTGGATCTGTGCACAGAGACCGCAGAAGAGGGTGTGGGGTCCACCAGAGTTTCCTGACCTGTGGCTGCGAGCTGCCTGACCTGGGTGCTAGGAAACAAACTCATGTCCTCTACAAGAGGACCTCTTAACTCCTGAGCCCTCTCTCCAGCCCTGACTTTAGGATTTTTAAATTATGGAAATAGTAAGTTGGTTTAAAAAAAAAAAAAAAAGCGAATGTAGAATAATAAGCTGTGCATATCAGCTGGATTTCCGTTTTAATTGTATTGGTTGCTTTTCTCTTATTGTGGTGACAAATGCGATCTAGAGAAGGGTTTCTTTTGGCTCATGCTTGGAGGGTAGGGAAGACCGGAAGTGGCTGGCTGGTCCCATTGCCTATATAGACAGGAAGCAGAGAGGTGAAGGCTGGTACCCAGCGCCTCCCCGTCCTTCTGTATCCCCAGATCCCAGTTCATAGAACGGGATCTACATTCTAGGTGTCTTCCATCCTCCGGTAAACCTCTGTGGAAACACCCTCACAGACTCACAAAGACATGTGTCTCCTAGGTAGTTGCAAATCAAATCAAGGTGGCAGAGAAAATTAATCACTGTGTTAATGTGTTTTTTTTTTTTTTTTGGGGGGGGGGTCAGGTTTCGTCCTTCTTGGTGAAGCATTTAAAAGCAAATTAGATGTTCTAATTAAAGATCTAATCACAGGCAGTTTGTTGCGTTTGCTGTTTTGTACCTAAAATTTCCCCCTAACATTTTAGGTTTCCTTTTTGTTATTGTTGCTGCTGCTGCTGCTGCAAGAAGGGACCTTGTTTTTTATGTATCAGGCTGCCCTAGACTTCTTGAAGTGGCCTGAGCTGGCTTTGAACTTTCAATTCTCTCCCCTGAAGTCTCCCAAGTTCTGGGGTTACAGGTGTGCACCACCACACCCAGCCTTGTTTTCCTCTTTCCTGGCACTGACTTATAAATTCTTGAATCCCTTCGATGGAATCTGTGGCCTTCCCATGGTTCCTTCTGTGGAGGCCCTGTCGTTCTTGCGTTGCCTTTCTATTAGTTACTGTCAGCCAGAGGGTTTTAAACCTGGGCCTCCTCTTAGTTCCTGCCTCCAGCTTAGCATCAGTTACTTTGAAGCTGGTTTCAGTTTGACTGTGGTCAGTGGTGTTTATTGAAAAAAGGAATTTCTTATCTTAGTTTCCTTTTAGTGACAGATAAAATTTTTCTGTCGTTTGTACAGAATTTATAAGCTTGAAATGGATACAAAATAATAAAGGTGGGTTCTGGATGTGGCCATGAATTAAGATTTAAAGGAAGTCCTAATAACTGTTCTTCATGTTCAGTTTGCAGAGAAATTCCAGGAGGTAAAAGAAGCTGCCAGGCTAGCCAGAGACAAGTCCCAGGAGAAAACTGAGACCTCAAGCAATCATTCCCAAGTAAGTCATTTGTCCCTGAAATAAAAATGAGTGTGATCAGTAATTGAGATTCCTTATTCCCTGTCACTCTTGGCAAGAAATAGGTAATTTTAGCTGCAGGACATGCCTTAGCTGAAGGCATTCTTCAACCTTTAGCGGGTTCTCGGTGAGATGAAAGTGACATGTTTTTATGAGCCTTTGGAATTTCTCAGGAGGTAGTACTGTATTTTTGACAGAAAACTGTGTCGACACAATCAGAGTTACCTGTCCCCAGCCCACAAAGAACTTCTGCAGTCACTGTGTTTGAAGGTCAAGGTGTGCAGCTTCATGGTAGAATCTCACTTGGCCTGATTGAGGCCAGAGTTTGTTCCCAGCATTGCAAAGGGGATGGATGGGGTGTGGCTAAGGCACAGTATCTACACTAAGTCCTGTCATGCTAGGTCAAGGACAGTATTTTGCTTTCTTGAAACCTAGTAACCTTGAGGACAAGCAGCGTTTAAACGTCAGTGGTAAGGCAGCCTGTTTGCTGACTGTTCGGAAGGCCTTCGCAGGATGCTTTTCAGTGAATGCAGGCACCTCCTGCTCACTAAGGAAAATGCTTGATACCAGAAAGCTCCAAGCCTCTCCCTCCCTTTTCTTTACAAAAGGCAGATGGGACACAGTTCTGTCTAAGTCTGAAGAGATCTGGCTTTGCCAGGCTTTGAGTAGTCTGTCTGCTTAAAAGCATGATAATAATGGCTGCAAAGGACTCATTTTTAACTTGAGATTAACACACACACACACGCATGCACTCACGCACCAGCATGCCTGAAATACATATCATCATATAGGTAGGGAAAGAGAGACTCCAGGAACAGCGTTGGCATTTGGCTGAGAGGGATGACTGAGCCAGACAGCCTGGATGACTGCCTTGTACACGTGTATGTCAGTTATGGAGATAAGTCTGGAGGAACAGAGAGATCTGGAATTCTTTGTTATTTATCATCTATCTCATTAACTAGGTGGCCAGTTGCCATCTGGCTATTGATGTGGAGTTGACATGAGGAGGATGTACAGGTACTGAGGAAGGCTGTGTCTCACAAGGCCGCTGGGGGGAGAACAGCTTAGCCTGGTTAGCTGTGGTGCAAGTGAGAAAGAGGGCAGCTCCAAGGAAAGAACCAGGAAGACTGGGCACCTGAAATAGTCATGTCCAACACTCTGGACTTGACCATGAACCAAACAGAATAGCCAAAGCCTAGGAAGCAAAGGAAAGATGAGGTCAGGAGTGAGCGTCCTGGGAAGGAGAAACCTCGGCATCACAGACCAGAGGTAGAGCAGCCCCCGGGCTCTGCGTTTGCCAGCAGACTGGTGGCTGGGATGGTTGGCACAGGCAGAGCCTAGGTCTGTGGGCTTGCCATAGAAAAGATACTACAGGAGGAATTGCGTATTGAGTATGTGCTCGGCTTCAGGCAATGGCATCTTCCCCGGCCTTTCCTAAACAGTCCTCGATCCAAGTTTCAGCTTGACTTAGTGTAGTAATTATTAAGTAATCACTGAGTTTTTGAAATGGAAATGTGGGTAGAAACTACAGATTTTTCTTAATCTGTTTTACATTTAAGCGCGTGCGTGCGTGCGTGCGTGCGTGCGTGCGTGTGTGTGTGTGTGTGTGTGTGTGTGTGTCTATATGTCATGTGTTGGGGGTGCTGGAGGAGGCCAATAGCATCAGATCTATTGGAGCTGGAGTTCAGGCTGTTTTAAGTGATCTGATACACATGCTGGTAGTGGAACTCAGGTCCTCCGGAAGAGTAATATGTACTCTTTTGTTGTTGTTTCTGTTTATTCTTTGTTTTGTTTTCCGGGACAGGGTCTCTCTGTATAGCCCTGGCTGCCCTGGAACTCACTCTGTAGACCAGGCTGGCCTCAGACTCACAGTGTCTGTGTCTCCTCTGGAAGATAGGGAAGTGGGATTTAGTACATCTTCCTAGTGCATTTCCTTCTTCTCTTTTTAACCTTTTAAGAAACGACTTTGTAAGTCATGATCATTTCCTCCTGGTTTCCAGTACTCCCTTTGAAAACTGCTTTAAAGCCCAAGTAATATTCCAGTGTTAGTGTGACTTATTCCCTCCAGCTCCTATAATTTGGGACAGCTGTGCTTTTTCCGTTTCTCTTCACTAACGTAAAGACCACGGCTATGAACGTCTTGCCGATCTTTGCGCATTTGATTGCTTCTCGGCGGGGTGAATCCTGGAAGTGGAAACGTGGGTTGAGGTGCCCGCACGTGAAGGGTTGAGGTTCTGTGCTCTCAGCCACAGCGACGCTCAACTCCAGTGCCCACAGCAGTGAGCACCCCATCCTCTTCCCACACCTCGCTAAGAAAGCTGGTGGATTTGACTCATGGAAAGCTTATCTCCATTGGGTTTTTTCCTCTACAGTGACGTGAAATGTTTTTATGCTTATTGACCATATGCATTTCTTCAGTACTCTTCCTTCCCTTTTTAAAAGAGTTAAAGTGCAAATTTTAATATGGTGTTAAATATTTAGTAACAATATTTTTATTTCTTGAGAATTTTATACAATGCATTTTAACGACATTCACCCCCTAATTCCTACCATATCCACCTCCACCTCCCCATCCCAAAAGAAAAAAGAACTAGCACACCATGTCCAGTTTGTCCTGCTCTCAGTTATAAGTCTGTCCACTGGAGCCAGGCATGCCCCTAAAGAAAACAGATCCCTCCTCCTCCAGAAGACAGCGGCTCTCAACAGCTCTGAATTTAGGGGTGGGGCTGGCGAATCCCACCCTCCATGCTAGACCACTGACTGGCTCGATCATACGGAAGGCATGTCCAGACGGCCGAAGCTGTTGGCCTTACATGCTTTCCAATATCTGAACATTTTAGACAGACGCTGTGCAACGAACCTCGGTGGCCGTTGTTTTATTGTCGGCCCCACGTCTGCTCCCTGTCCCATGTTTTAAGGGAAATCTGAGGTGTCTGACTACATCCAAAAATATCTGTGTGTAACTAAAAAAATGAGGACTCTTGGGTCAGCGAGATGGCTCTGCAGTGACTTAAGTTCGGTCCAAGGAGCCAGAGTGGAAGAAGAGAATTCTGACCTTCACATACGTGCCTGCACACACACACACACACACACACACACACACACACACACACACACCACATATAAATAAAATCTTAATTTTAGTTTTGAAAAAGTGACTTGAGGTCTTTAGGTTTCACTTTTAATACCTGCTGCATGTATATTCCCCAGGTTTCTGTTTGCATTTTAATTTTGTCTACAGCTTCTGTTTTATAATACGGAAATATGTTAGTCAAATTAATACATGATTCTCTTCATACTGCCTTTATCTGCCTTTATGTCTATTGGAGGGTAATAAGAGCTAAGGTTTTATTCAGGACCAGATGAGTGGCTTGGCTTTCTACAGAAGCTGCTTCAGGGTATTCATAAGAATGCCAAGCAGCATCGAAGCCATGGAACCCCCGTATCTGGTTCCTGTGTTTTTAATAAATATGTTGATCTACCGCTGCACAGCCCCAGGATCTGTCTGTCGACGCTGATTCTGATACTATCCATTTATCCTCAAGGATTCACTGCTCCTTAGGCTCCATTGTTTATAAGTCTCTGTTATTGTCAATTAGAACTCCTGTCCTGGGGTATTGAAGGAGACCAGATCCTCAAGTGTGGGAGGGAGAAAAATATAAAATAGGAACGTAAAGTTGGAATTGCAGAGCTCCGAGTGTGGCCCTGGTATACCCTGTCAGTGAATCGCACTTCGCAAGCTCTGTGTGGAGTGTCGGAGCCTCACTCAGCTGTTTTGCTGGTTACTCCACACTGCATTCTGATTCAGTGAGTGGGTTTGTCCAGACCCATGAACACATATTTTCCCGTTATACCTAATTTTCTGCGAGTGTAAGGACAGGCAGTAACATGTGAAGACAATTCACTTTGGCCAGGAATCTGGGTGTGAAACCCCATCTTCCACTCAGGCGTCCAGCGTCAATGGGACGGATGACGAAAAGGCCTCACACGCGAGTCCAGCCGACACACACCTCAGGTCCGAGAATGACAAGCTGAAGATCGCTTTGACACAGAGGTGAGGCCGCTTCAAAACCCACACCCTCTATTCTCCATGCCCTGCTTTTCCTGGAAGCCTTCCCCACTGGGCAGGGTTTCAGCAACTGGGAGAGAAGAGTGGCCTGCTCAGAGCACCATATGCTATCTCCTGGTCGGAGGAAGACCATTGGCTTCGTCACCTGTCTGTCAGGCCAACCAGTGTCAGTCAGTGTGTGTGAGTGTGTTGGTGTCAGAAGTGTGTGTGGAGGATATAGTTATGTGTGAATGTGTGTGAGCGAGTCTGTGCTGGACCTCTAATTGTGTTCTGTTTTTTAAAAGGAACACATCATTTGCTCATCTATGATAAGAAAGAGTCTTAAACATCCAAGAAAAATGGCAGGGCAACTTTCTCCTTGAGAAGCCTAGCTGTGCCCTGTGTTTCAGATCTATGTTTAAAATATCTTTCAATATATTCTAATTCTTCTTTTTTAAAAAAATGTAAGAAACTCTGAAAAATAATATGAAATCACACACAAAGTCAGTTATTGCAGGATATTTGATCCCATTGTGAACCCCAAAATTGTGAACCATAAAAACCTATCTTTTGTTTGGTGTGGTTCAACCCTAACACACACCTTTCATCCAAGAACTTCCTGTTTGTTGTAAACAGGTGATTATGGTGTGGCTCAGCCCTAGCACACACCTTTAATCCTAGAGCTTTCTGTACACAGGATTTAATAAAGTTAACCCTAGGTCAAGAGGCAGAGCAAGTAACCAGCTGATAGAGAATAACAGAAAGAGAAAGCAGTTTCCTGGGACAGTAATAGAGAGATGGGTTATAGAGAAAGAACCCAGGTAAAGACCGAAGGAGCCAGAGAATGAGAAGGAGCCAGGAGATTAGAGAAGATTGCTTGAGTTAATTTGAGGCCAGACAGAGCAATTCAGGGGCTGAGAAAAAAAACCAGATTGAATAAGTCAGCTGGGAGAGGACTTTAAGCCAGAACATCTAAGTTGAACCAGCCAGCCCTAAGCAGGTGAGCTTTATTAAAACAATAAGTGTCAGAAGCTGACAATGTTCTAGGCATACATTAGATTGTATCGAGACTAGAAGCTTCCAGGGCTAGGCCTAGGTTAGCAGAAGGAGGCAGCAAGCCTCCCAGACAACAGTTGAACCAGGCGAATAAAAATTACTTTTACAATCAATAATATTTCTATATGTAAAAAGATGAGATGATATTTAAAGAAGATATTTTTTTATAAAATTAACCAGAACCATAAAACACATGGGGATAAAGTTGATGAGAAATGTCCAGGACAGTATGAAGCAAATGGTGGTGTTTTGAAACAGGGTAAACCTCCCACTTGCTCTGCACCTGAGGAGAGCCTTGAACTCTAATCTTCCTGCTTCTACTTCACAAGTGCTAGGATCATAAGCATGCATCACTCAAAAAGTGATTTTTGAGGGTCACAAATGAATAATTTAACACATAAATACATTCTTTCTTGCCTTTTTTTTTTTTTTGTGGAGAATAAAAGGAAAAAATTTACGGATACCTGAGAGATGGCTCAACAGCGAAGGGGCGCTTTTGCTGCTCTTGCAGAGAACCTGAGTTCGCTGCCGAAACCCACAGCGGGTGGCTCACAGCTGCCTGTAATTCCAGCCGTAGGGGGCCCAGCGTTTTCTTCGGCCTTTGAGAGTTTCAACACACATGTGGGATCTGCACGCACACGCGCGCGCGCACACACACACACACACACACACACACACACACACACACATCTTTTAAAATACTTACAGTACACACATAGTTTTACCTATCATTATTGCATACAGTGTGAAACCGAATGAATACAGTAGGTGATGACCAAATCAGAATCATTGGTGGGTCACTTCTTACACAGGTGGCCCTCAGCTGAGACGTGCTCAGGAACCGGGTAGTTTGCAAGGTTTAGTCTCTCCTAAGTGGTTCTGAACATTAACACGACGCCCATACTGACGTCAAGAAGACCAGCTAGTCTTGTGTTCCTGGGCCTTCAGGGCTGCTTCCCCCCCGTCCCCCCGAATTTAGACAGGCCCATCCTGTCTGAATTCCCCCACTAGGCCCAGTTAGTGGAGGGACATGCCCAGGTCACGTGCCTTAAAGCAGTCCTTCCCCCCTCCCAGCACTGCCTGTCTGCACCTCATCTCTGCAGAGCTAGCCTCTTCAGCCAGCCACAGCCTCAGCTGAAGCTCCCGCACCCCCTCACCCTCCCACCCCGAAAGGGGCTGCCATTCAGTGCCCCGGCTCAGCGTCCTGGCTGCCGTATGAAACTAATTCCTGTGATCTGACCTAGAAATTCCAGAAAGCACAAGAGCCTTTTAGATCCCACCTTCTGTGGCTGGGTGCCGAGTCTCTTTCAGACGCTTCAAAGACACAAGTGACCAGTCCCTTCTTGCCGGGCGATCGCAAGGATTATTTTTGGTTGCTTAACTCACAGTGGGATGCCCCAATGAAAACATTTCAATCCTAAAAATAAATGTTTTCGAATCCAAGTTCAGTGAAAAGTAAGTCAGAGGAACAGCCGTGAAGCCATTTCTCTAAATCAGCTTAGTTCTCGGGCCATCACCCATAAAAATTCGTCGGATAAAAAACACTCTGCTGGGCTTTTGTTCCGTATGTGGCGTTTAAACCTGACAACACGCGGTTCCCCAGTCACATCATAGGCTCACGAGGTAGGGAGACAACATATTGTTGAGATACGGTTGTACATATTTAAATCTTTTCTTTGTCTTTAGGAAAAGGACACTCTGCAGCTGGGAAGAAGTTTTCTCTGTGTATGTGTGCGAGTTTTTGTGTGTACAGATGTACACCAACTTGAATGTGTATGTATGTGCGCGTTCGTGTGAGCGTGCATGTATGTGAAGGTCGAAAGTCTATGTTTCTCAGGAATTGTCCACGTCCATACAGAAACCAGTGGAAGATGTTTGTGTCTTTATCACTTTTCACCTTATTTTTTTGACTCAAGGTTTCTTGCTAAACCTGAAGCTCACCATTTGGCTAGGCCGGCTGTCTGTCCGGTTTCTGTGGTCTGTCTGTCTCTGCCCCTCAAATGTTACAGGCACACGTGGCCACACCCAGCTTCTACGTGGGTGCTAGGGCTTTGAACTCTGGTCCTCTTGCTTTCACAGGAATCACTCTTACACTGGTTGGACGCCATTTTTCAGCTGATTTTTCCCCTGTCTCTTAGCTCCAGGAATAATGACTCTTGAGACTCCAGATAATTATTTACAAATACCTAAGCCAAATAGCCAGGCTCTTCTTTGACTATCTCATAATTTAAAATAACCCATTATGCCAATTTACATTTTGCCACGTGGCTGGTGACCTGAACTCAGGCACCACGAATTCCTCCTCTTTACATCTTGGTAGCGAATCTCCTGAGCACCTGGCTCTGTCCCAGAATCCCTTCTGCTTGCCAGAAGTCCCACCCATTTCCTGCCTCAGCCATAGGCCGTAGGTTTTTTTTACTTGACAGGTATTACTTCCATACAGTACACAAGAGATTCTTTCCACACTCTTATCCAATGAGCCGTCTTTCAGCCCCATTGTTGTTATCTTGTTTTGTTGTAGACAGGGTCTCTCTGGCTGTCCTGGAACTCACTCTGTAGACCAGGCTGGCCCCGAGCTTACAGAGACCCCTGCCTTCCAGCATGGGATTACAGACATGCACTGCTGCCCTTGGGTGTTCACATCGGTGCTGTAATTCGAACTCAGGTCCCCCTGCCCATGTGACAAGCCCTTTGTAGGCCGAGCCATCGCTCCGCCTGCGAGCAGAACTTCCCGAGGCTTTGTCCCGTCCAGCTCTGCTCCGTCAGCTCGGGTCACATTCAGTGCTACAGCTGTCTGGACTCTAAAACAAGGACATGCAAGGAGGGGAGGGGGACCTGCTTCCTGTTTGTTTGGAAGGTCTTCCTCAGTGAGCAGAGCCCAAAGGTGAGGCAGGAGGCGGCATGTGCTCTAAGGAAAGGGGCCATCGCTGCCCCTCTCCTGAGGCAGCTCTGGAAGGACATGTCCGGGGAAGGTGGCATGCCCCCTCTAGAGAGCTGCCAGTCCCTCTTGGCAGCCGGTGCGGACAGACCCAAAGTGAGAGAGCTGACTGGCAGAAGAGAGTTTGAGCTTCCCTCGGTGTGGGCCACGGAGTGGCAGGGTCCCCGTTCCCCAGCAGGCGGAGGGATGGCCACCCCGCCTAACCTCTGCCGTCACCCGCCACCCCCGCAGTGCTGCCAACGTGAAGAAGTGGGAGGTCGAGCTGCAGACGCTGCGCGAGAGCAACGCCCGGCTGACCACGGCCCTGCAGGAGTCCGCCGCCAGCGTGGAGCAGTGGAAGAGGCAGTTCTCCATCTGCCGGGACGAGAACGACAGGCTCCGCAGCAAGGTGGGCAGGACGGAGGGGGAGGGCCCGGCCAGCTGGAGCGCGCAGCAGGGGCACCGCAGGCCCTTCTTCCCTGCTCTTAGCCTCCTCTCACTCTGCCCTCACCCACGGGCAGGAGAAAGAAAGTCTCATCGCCTTGAACATTCCATCTTCGCGCCTTTCTTAGCGGGGCGTCAATTCAACCCTGTATATCATTTGAATTCCCGTTGCTAAGGAAAAGATAAGTGAGCCAGAAACCCCTCTCAAGGGTTCCCTGGGCCTCTCCCGCGTGGGCCTGTGCCGTAGGTGGGCTTCTCATGGCATCTCCGTGGCCTTGGATCTCCGGTGGAGGAAAGGGAACCCAAGGATAAGCGGAAAGAGTGACCCAGGGAATGCTGAGGAACCCACTTCTGCAGAAACCCTGCCCCCATCCACATCATTATTTCTAAAAACGTAAACGTGGACGCGAAAAGAGGAACGTAGTGTTTAGAGAGGAGAAGGGTGGGCGCTGACTACTGTGAGCGCCGTCTGTTGTCCTCTTGTGGTGTCTAGATCCTCAGGCCTTCCCTGGAACCCACAGCCGCTCTCATCTGCTGTCTTGCGGTGTTGACACGGTACTTTGGGGCGCTTGGAGACACCCCTGTAGAGGTGCTCAGGTTTCTGCTGAGGCCGGCTATGTGTGAGCCCACTAACGCCTGAGTGTGAGCACACGAGGCTTCAGGGCGCTCTGTGAGCGCAGGATTTCCGGGGACCCGTCCCTTGACCCTCTTGTGTCACCTGCCCTGACTGGCCTGGGCAGAGCCACTGCGGTGGAACCCCCACTTCACCCCCTTCCTCGGGTGCTGTTTGCGCACAGAGCTCTCCCTGTCATTTTTATTTTCCATCCCCAAGATGAACATGGTAGCAGTCAGGGCACCGGGCCAGTAGCTGACTCTTCCAGTTCCTATCTGAGACCGGCTGACCCTGGGCGGGACCGATTGCTCCTCCTTTTCAAGCAAAGAGCAGAATTTCCTCCCTCTGGTTTGAGGGTGAAAGCCAAAGACAGTGCTGACGTCGGGGTTGGGGGAGGGGAGCTAGCATGACCAGAGGCCTCGGACCTCCCTGGGCGGAACCCTGTGTGCTCCCGATTTCCAGGCTGGAGGTAGGAAGCAGGGTCGTCAGTGTCAGTTGGTACTGATGGGTTAGGTCCTGAGGGCTGGCGCAGCCAGCTATCCCTGAGAAGAGGCCTCATGTCAAAGGCTGAGTGTGCCGGCGCCGTGTGGCTGCCTCCGGGTGGTACAATGGCTCCGCTGCGGCCATCCACTCTCCACACACACGTTTTGGTGCCAAGAAATGCCGAGCAACTGACCACAGCGCCAGTGTGTGCGGGCTCTGGTTGGCTAGCCCTTTTGAGGGGCCGGCATCACCAGTCAGCCTTGGAAAGGCTGCGCACACTGCTCCCCACGGGGACCTTTCTGCAGGCCTCCGTGGGCGGTGGTCATCTCGATGTGCAGTGATGGCATATCTTCGCCTGTGATTTCCATTCGGTGGCTCCTGTCCAGTCGCCTTGCTAAACTGTCTATTCAGCCATCTTAAATCCTTGAGATGAAAGTGAATAATTCAGGACATAATTAAAATGTCGCAAAAGCCACTCTTGGGGAAAGCAGATCAACTCGGGGGACATCTGGCCTGTGACAGACCCTTAAAGCCAACCTGAGCCTCCTCCCACCTGGCCATATGAGAAATCCAGAAGCCCAGCACATAGGCTGGGTTTCATGACTTACCGGCCCTACCGCGATTAAGTAAAGAATGCCAGGCAGGCAGGGGCAAACCGCCCGTGGAAGCCGTGTGGTACACATCTGTGGGGGGTATAGCGGCGGGGTAGTTCAGAGCGTGTTTGAAAAGAAAGCATAGAAGTAGTCACGGCAAGCCGGCGTTTAACGACTAGAGTAGCACGGGTGCCTTAACTGTCGCCTTCTCTAAGATCGAGGAGCTGGAGGAGCAGTGCAGCGAGCTCAACAGGGAGAAGGAGAACAACAGCCAGCTGAAGAGGAGGATCGAGGAGCTGCAGTCGGAACTCCAAGAAAAGGAGACGGTGAGTGAAGAGCTCTGACAGGGCCCTGGCCTTGCGTGACCTCTGTTCAACCATGTGGCAGGTGACCTGGACTCCAGGACAGAGAACCGGGCCTGGCACCACAGTTGAGCTTCTCCGAAGCCAGAGCCTCACGGTGCCCCTTGCAGCACTGTAGAGATGACACCCTAGAGTGGCGAATGTAGCTCAGTGGGTAGGGTGCTTGCCTAGCAGTCACGAAGCACTGGGTTCACTCCCCGGTACCATGTCAACTCGTGGTGGTGGCACACACCTGTAATCCAGAGCTCGTGGAGGCAGGAGGATCAGGAGTTCAAAGGTCATCTTCATGGCAGCCAGCCAGGGATACGTAAGATGCTATCTGGGGGAGAAAACAAAAAATCGAAGGAGACTTTCCAAAAGCCTCGGACAGTCTGCCAGGTCAGCTGCCAGCAGAAGAGGCGTTCCCAGGTCAGGCTCACACAGCCAGAACTTCCGTCATTTATGCTCTGGGAGGCAGAAAGTTAATCGCACAGCACCAGGACTTGGACGAGTGAGTGAAGCCTCCCCAGGCCGCAGACTGCACGTGATGGCGCTTCTAATGTGCTGCACCGTAGAGTCACGTCATGTTGTAGAATAGCACCCCCGGTGAGTCAGCCTTCCTCAGGTGTGTGCGTCTCTTTTAAAATGTCTCTCCCCCCTAGGAGTTGAAAGATCTCCGGAAACAAAGTGAAATCATACCTCAGCTCATGTCCGAATGCGAATATGTCTCTGAGAAGTTGGAGGTGAGAGGCATGTGTTGGCCGGGAGGGGACTGCCGTGACCCTTATTTCTCCCCCGCCTCTCACTCCTACGCCTGGGATGGGCAAGGGTGGGTTTCTGCTTACAGAGTGTTAGTGACGGCGCGTCACGAGCACCCCTGGGGGGGAGGGCGCCTCCCCAGTGTTGTGTTTTGGTTTTTCCCACTTACACAACGGGTCCCGTGCACAACCAGAGTGTAGGTGGCAGCTGTCACCCACAGACAACCCCTGCAGAACTGCAGCCAGTGAGGAGAAGGGAACAGGGCCAGGCACACGTCCACTTCGGCTTCATCCCAGCTCTTGACTGGTTACTGACCTTGGCAGGCCTTCTTCATCAGCTTCCTGAGCTACAAAATGCAGGGTTTTCTTCCTCCCCAGTGTTCTCCTCACTCCTGTCCCCTTGACCTCTACGCAAGGGGGCGCTTTAATGAATTGCACAATCCCAGAACTGTATTGGTAACCAGTTTCTGAGCACACGTTCAAGAAAGCCCTAGTTTCTGCACGCGGAATAAAGCTCCTACATGGCCTCAAGAGTTTTCCCTCACAGAGGGTGAGAGGCTGTGGAGAAACCAAGGGAGCAAGCGTGCTCGCCGTCCCATTTGCATTCGCTCTAGCTTTCGCACGGTTTAAATGAAAGGTCGTCTCCGTTGACCACTGTAGGGCTGGCTCTCCGATTCCAGAGGCTTCCGCTTGGAACCCTTGTGAGGCTCCCTTGAGCAGGACTCTGCATTTCTGGTTGCTGCTTGGAGTGTTTAGGCCAGCTGTTGGTCGTCTCCCCTTTTTAATCCTTCCTCAGGAAAACCATCAGGAAAGAAATGGGACCCCACGATGCCCCCTCCCCTTTTGACTTGAGTGGCGGGCGTTTGGGCAGGGCGCAGCCTTTTACAGTCAGGGCTCCGGCGGTCCCCGCCTTCTAGACCCTTCTCCCCTCTGTCTTGTCAGGCCGCAGAAAGAGACAATCAGAACCTGGAAGACAAAGTGCGGTCTCTGAAGACAGACATCGAGGAGAGCAAGTTCCGGCAGCGCCACCTGAAGGGCGAGCTGAAGAGCTTCCTGGAGGTGCTGGATGGAAAGATCGACGACCTCCACGACTTCCGCCGAGGCCTCTCCAAGTTAGGCTCGGACAACTAGGGCCTGCGAGCCTGGGTGGTGAGTGCGCGTGAGAGGCAGCAGGCGTGGGGCGGGCTCCGTGTGCGTCGCCGTGGAGGTGCAGGTGCGTGGGCCGTCCCCTGGCCGGCTGGGCCGTCCGCTCGCTCCTCCAGACAGGAGACCTCTGCCTCCCCGGCCGCGGGAGGCTGCGTGCAACTGGGAGCTTCTGACTCAGGAATCCAGAACTCGGTCTACCTTAGCCGACCAGGCAGGGTGTTTATATCTCTCTAAGGGCTGCCGCAACCCTGGGGACTGGGGGGCGGGGGGAGTGTTTTCTAATCCAAGTACAGAGATCCTTTACCACGGGCCGTGGGGCGCCTTCCACCGAGCAGCGTTCAGAGCGTGCCACTCTTCGGCGCGCGGAGGGAGTGTCTCTTCCGAGCACGCGTTTCATTGACCTTATGACATGACATCTACAAAGTTTACACTCAAAACGCTTGTCAAAAAAAAAAAGAAAAAAAAAAACGTACAACGTTTTAAGTAAATTTACAATTTTGTGTCGGAGCACATTCATAGTTATCCTTGGCTACAGGTGGCCCTTGGGCTGTAGGTCAGACGTTACCTACTTGAAAAAAAACCACTTAGTGGGGACTCATCCAGAGGGAGGAGAAGCCAGAAGTTTTCGGGTGTGCTTACTGACAGGGAGTTACTTGTACCGTTATGTTCCATCTCCCCTGATTTGTTATGGTTGCAGCAATGTACCTCTTTCTGTTTGTTTTCCTGTTTGTTTTTTGCTTTTAATTTCGGAGCAGATGCTTATGCTGTGGGAACAGCACGCAGGGAGGGTGTCCAGCACAGTCTTGGCACATAATAGGTGCTTAATAAACATTTGTTCAATTAAATACATAAACAGAATTTAGCGTTTTAATCAGACCCCTCAGCAGAGTTCAGGCCTTCGTAGAATGATGCATCATCTTTGCTGTGCCGGAGTAGTGGTCAGAAGTGAACGCAGTTTGCTGCAGGAGAACCCAAAGCTGGCTCTGAGGCACGGACGATGGAAATGGACACAGCGTAGACTCCCCAGAGGCCCTCCTGCAGGGAGCCCAGCCCCGATTCCCCTAGAGCTCACTGCCTTCGGGACATTCTCCTCTTCTCAGCAGAGGGCCTGTAGTCTGAGACCTCCGGGATACCGAGAGGACACGGAATAGGAGCTGCCCTGGGCTCAGAAGCTAGGCTGGGCTCCCATAATGGATCTGAACAACTGAGGAGCTATACTACAAGCCATGAGGGCGAGAGCTCCTCGGGTGGCAGCCCTTGGCCTCAGTGACAGAGAAGCTCTGCGTAGGTCCGCCTTTCCTTTCTCAGTTCCTGCTGAGGAAGGGCCTGCAGCCACAAGGCTCTCTGCTCACAGAGGACTTAGTGGAGTCGCTGGGCAGTCAGGTCCACAGGTGTCTTTCCTCAGGAGAGGCTGCCCATGGGAGACAAAATGGGTGCAGTCCAGACCCCCAGCACTTCTAAAGTCCTTGGGCAAGGGAAACGTTGGCATTCCCTACCCCTCTGTGAACCCTCTAGAGCCAGGCATGGTAGCACAAGCCTGTAATCCCAGCAGAGGATTACAGGAAGACAGAAGCAGGTGGATCTCTGTGAGTTTGAGGCCAGCCTGGTCCATAAAGGAGTCCAGGACAGCCAAGGCTACACAGAGAAACCCTGTCTTGAAAAACCAAAAAGAAAGAAAGAAAAAAAAAAAAAAAACAGAAAAGCCAACAAAACACCAAAAGAACCTTCTGAATATTCGTTCACGTGGGATTATAAATTGTCCCTCCTGACTTCACATAAATGAGAAAACAGCCTGAGGAAAGAGCTGGGGCCTGGCATGTTCAAGACCCAGGCCCTGTAGTCATGTCCAAAGCCTCATCTTTCTTTGCGGTAGCTGAGCAGTCACTCTTGCGATAAGACAGGAAGGAAGCATGGCAATATGGAATGGTGAGCTCTGTTAGGGAGGACCTGTCAAGTTGAGGTGTGGTAACTCAGCCCAGGGTGTGCTGCTCCTGCCTTTCCCACCGCTCCAATAGTTCTCAAATCAGCAGCAGCTCCTAACAACAAGAGAACAAAGACTGGGTAGGCTGTGGCCCCACAGGGGGTAAGGGGACTCTTCCTACGCCATCCTGGGCCCTTTGTCTGTCGGCAGGCTCCCAAGAGCTCTGGACACTGGTATCCTCAGCTCACTCTCCAGATGGCCTCTGTCTGCAGATGGCATCATATAGAAAGAGCTCTCTTGGCTGGCCAGAGTGTGAACTAGTGGCATGGACTTCCAGAAGTGCTGAAATTGGAAGTGCAGAAAGTTCTGGAAGTCATTACCATGGTGGGCTTGCTGTTAGGTCGAGGCCCACGTTCCCTGTGATAGCCATTGAAGAGTTTGGCAAGCTTCTCGTAGCCAGTAGATGGGGGAAATAGACTTTTTATGCTGTTAGACTCTAGCTGTCCCCAACCTCCACAGCCCTGAGCCTACGAGCCGAGGGACGCCCCTGAAGGGCAATTTAGGCTCCAGAGTGAAAGCACGAAACGTTAGCATGGAGCTTCCGTTGCACCTGCTTTCCCTAAAGACCTCATGACTCTTCATTTGCTTTCTTTTTAAGAGCAACCATGGCCTGGGAATAGCCTGGACAGTCAGTCAGTCAACAAGAGGCTATCTCTGTCTGTAGCTTCTGGCACTGCAAAAGACGGACCCTGTAACAGAGCGAATGGCCCACCAAAATTGTTCAGTATGCACCCATACCGGTGTGACATACCTTCATTCATTATGACGCCCGCACAGTCTTGGGACTGCTGTCAGGACCTCAAACCCTGTGCGGGCGTTTGTGGGCAGTTTCTGCCCGGCAGTTAGGGCCGCAGCGCGCTATCTGCAGAGGCAGGTGTCCGGGGAGCTCTCCCAGCCTTGGCCTCTCCGGAAGGAGCTGTCTGCACCCTGCTTAGCTCGCTTCCCACACGCCATCCACAGGGGGCACAGTAGAGATGTCTCCTTAGACCTTAAATGGGTAAGAGAACTTGGCAGAGATTATCAAAGGCAGCAGCAGAGGCAGTGGCATACCCAGGGCTGTCCAGCTGTGACCAGCGGCATGGGCTCTTGGGCCTCCTGGACTTGGGACATGCTATTGTTCCCCCCTCGGTGTCCCTTAGATGATGAGAAGAAGTAAGCACTCTTGTGCCCTGTTAAAATTGTGTTACGCTGTAACATTTCACTGTGTGCCCACAGCAAAGAACAGTGCCTGTGTTCACCCTACAGAGCAAGGCTCGTTCTTCTAACCGCTTCAGATCATCTCCGTGCTCAGAGAGGCCGTTTCTGTGGGACGCAGGCTAGCTTTGAGTTCTTTCCCGATGGCTTTAACGGAGGCACAGTCATCTTTTTAAAGCGAGGGAAGGCCTTTGGCGGCAGAGACATAAACAGTGCTCTGGCCCAGAGACGGCCGGTCTGGATGAGCCGCGGCTGGGCAGGTGCTGGCTGATCCAGTGCTAAGAGCAGTGGGCGTGCCTGGCAGGCTGTCCTCCGGGCGAGCTGCCCTCCAGCCGAGCTGCCCTCCAGCCACAGCCAACGGCAGTGTGACGGGCAGTGCGCGCTCTGCATTTGGTGCCAGGCACCTAATCGACTGTGACATGTGCTCCACTTCACGTGAGGCCCAAAAGCACCACGGCCAAGCCCAATGTTCAGGGGACTCTCTATAGACAGGACAGCAGGGGCAAACTTTGAACGGGACCCATCTTGGACCGCACATGCAGCCCGGTGCGTGCCTGGAAGCAGGGCAGCCTGATAGGAGCCCCAGGGGGGCTGCCCTTCAGGGTGCTGAAAGTGGGTCGCCGGAAGTTACGATCCTTTGATTCGGGGGAACGTCACTGGGTTTTGAAGCCCTTGCAACACCAACCAGAAGCTTTTCAAATCAAAATCCGTACATGTTTTGAATGATAGGCGTGATTTAAATAGGCCACGACTTCTGAGGACATGGCTTCCCCCAAAGAAGTAGAGTCCATTCTTGGGACAGGGCTGTGACGGCATGGGGGTGGAGTCCCGAACAGAAGCATGAGTTACTTACATGTCTTTTCCTTAGGCCTTCCTAAAGAATATCAGTCCCTCTTTAAAGGCAAGCCTGACGAAGAAGGTGACTTTGGTAGGAGCTTTGAGCTGTGTGTGACATTGACATGTGTGCGACATTCATATGTGTGCGTGTGCTTGAGTGTGCTGGAAAGGAAGCATCAGGGAGAGCCAGAGGAACGATTAGGAAGAGTCCAGCCACAGCTGCCTACTCGGGAGGAGGCTGAGTGGCCCTGGGAGTGAGGCTAAGGGTTCCGGAATCCACCCGCAGGCCTCTGTGGGGCTCCGGGCTTGTGTGAAATTGCACGGTGCCCTCACCCTTGCTGCCGAGCGGCCTGGGGCCACAGGGCCCCGTGAAGAAGCACAGGTGAACCACAGCGGAGTCCGAGCGTGCCCGCTTTGTCGGGAGACCGGCGAGACTGCCAGTCCATAGCTGTGGGGACGTGCTGCGTCTCCGCCCTCCTGTACCACTCCTGCTAGGAAGGCCTGGCTCTCAGGTCACTGTGTGCTGTCCCCTGATGTGACAGCAGGGAGACGCCACTTACATCTTCCTAAGAGCTAAATGCTAAGTATGGGTTGGATAAGCAAAGTATTTCACAAGTACCATTTGTTTCTTTTTAAATGCTTTTTTGGAACATAAGTAATAGATACTTTTTAAAGGAAAAAAAAAAAAGAAACTAAAGATAAAAGGAACAAAACAAATTCACCCTTTGTTCCACCATCTGACTGTAACCACTGTTAACAGCTGGCCCTCCAGCTCCCCACACAGCCACTTTTGTTCCTTCTCCATGAAATAGCCTTCTGTCCTACACACTCTTCCAATAACTGTCTTCTCCCCTTTGGCGCTGTATGCATGTCTCAATCAGCAAACACGTGGCTACCACTTTTTTAACAGCCGGGAAGGTCAGACCTTGGCTATCTAAGCCATTCCCTGTTTTCTGCCCTTGTAGTCCTGATATCTTTGTAAACTGTTTGGAGTATTTGCTTAGAATAAATTTCTAGCACTAGACTTTCCCGATTTCCACCCTCTGGAGCCTCTCCTTCCTAGCCGTGCGAGAGGCTCCGTCAGCGCCCTTTGTGGTGGTTGCTCAGGGCCCTGGGGGTAGTTCTGGCCAACGAGCTGTGAGCAGAAGTAGCGTGAACCATAGCCAGGACGGTAGGCTGCCCCAAGCTCTTGACTCCAGTGTCCCTGATCCTTTGCCTGAGCAAATGGTGACATCCCGGGGAAAGCGTCACCCAGCCTGGGATCTTGAGTGACTGGATGGAACAGCTCCTTTGACCCTACTCCACCCGCCACTGACACGGGCAAGGAATAGAGGCAGACCTCGAAGGTTTTCCCGCCGGGACTTCAGGGCAGGCGTCTTCCTACGGCACGGCGTGGCTGTCTTTTAACTAATAAGAAGAAGGGCATGCACCCTTTTAGGGTTCCAAACACATCACTTCAAATCGCCTTTCAGAAATGATGCCCCCAGCCATACCTCCTCGGCAGTGCGCATGAGTGCCCCTCCCCTCTGCAGCACTGCCGTTATCATGGAGGCAGGAGCTAACAAAATCATACTTTTAGTTAAAATGTGATCTTCATTAGCAAATGAGAGCCACCTGCCTCTGCCACATGGCTTCTGGCCTGCTTTCTATGTCCTTTGTCTTTTCATTAATTCTTCTTCCTCCTCCTCCTCCTCCTCCTCCTCTTCTTCTTCATTATCATCTTTCTTCTTCTGCTTCTTCTTCATGTATAGGTACACCACTTGTGTGCCTGATGTCCAAGGAAGGCCAGATGAGGGCATCAGATCCCCTGAAACTGGAGTTACCGGAGGTTGTGAGCAGCAGTGTGGGTGCTGGGAGTCAAACCCGGGTCCTCGGAAAGAGTAGCTAATGCTCTTGACTACTGAGACATCTCTCTAGCCCCCAAACCCCTTTATTTATCTGTCAATTTATTTATTTTTGAAACAAGGTCTCAACCATGTAACCGTAGCTAGCCTGCAGCTCTCCATGTTGACCACCCTGGCCCTAAAGTTGTGGCAATCCTTCTGTCTCAGCGCTGCAATTACAGGCTTGCTCCACCACACACAGTAGGCTCACTGACTTCAAAGTTCTTTTCATAAGTATTATGAAAATTAAAGTTGTATCATGGCTTTTAAGAAAAAAAAAAAACGCTTATACGTTGAAAAGAAACCTTTTTAGTCAAATCTGCTCTTTCCTTTATAGTTAGGCCTCTGCTGTCATGATTGTGAAAGTTTTTCCGATTCTAGTATATTCGGCACATTCCAGCATATTATATTTATCAGTGTGTTATTTTGTCTATTCATTGTCTTTTTCAGCTGCTGAACCTCTGACCTATGCCAGGTGTTGTGGTGGCACATTCTTGTAATCCCAGTAGTGGAAGGTGGAGGCACGAGATCAGCTGCGTAGCAAGTTTAAGAATCAGGCAGGCAGATCTCTGTGAGTTCGAGGCCAACCTGGTCTACATAGTAAGTCCCAGGCCAGCCGTGGTTGCAGAGTAAGACCCTGTCTTCAAGACAGAATAAAACAACAGAAGAAAAACTACCTTTCTATTTTATTCCTAATGTATTTCTAAATTGCACCAACACTTTTTTTGGGTGTAAGAATGCTGGACTGAGTTACCTGCCTGTACCGTTTGGTAACCCTAACTTTAGGTTTAAAATCCCCACTAAGATTTTTTTTTTATTATTATTATTTCCTAGTCTGTTTTGCATACTAAGATTAACAAAAGAAATTCAGGGACCATTTTATAAATTTTGGAGTCATTATTTATTGGATGATATAATATTTCTGCATCATAAAAGTAACATCTTTATAACCTCTTTCGTTTCACTAAGTTTATAATGTTTGGTTTTATGTCCCCCAGTCTGTTTTGTATTTCTTCTATGGGTAGTTTTTTTCATTGCGGCTACTGTTGAAAACGAGATCTTTTCCAACAGTTTACTGTTTCATAGGTGTAGCACTGCTCTGCTAATGAAAATCTTTCCCCTTAGTTTCCTAATTGAGGACATCAAATAAAAGTTATGTAAATTTAGACATAAAAACTATAGAAAATCAAAATCTCCTATAACTGAAATTCACTCTGATCCAAGATACTCAATGATTGTGTAACACACACACACACACACACACACACACACACACACGGTTTTACCATTTTGACAGTTTGATACAGCTCTTCTGCTACTTGCATTCTTTCCTTGGCAGAAGATCTTGGCCATCAAGGAAGCATCGATTTGATCTACCTCATTTTTATCTGCGTAGAAGAGTGTGTGTCGGCAAACGAGTTCATTTCATTTGTTTTCAGCCGCTCACTGATTCTTTTACTCATAACTTCATTTGCCTTCCGTGTGTAGGTGTTAGTTTTGATTAGTGATAATTTTATGTCCAAATTTTTCACTTTCTTGCCCTCCCACATTGACCGGCACCCCTATGACAGTGACAGATTTGTCTATGATTGGGCTGGTCTTGGACATGCTTCTTCACATACCTACCCCTTGGCGAGGATGTTTTTAGTCTCTTTCCAGAAATATGCATGTGCCTCTTTGTTGTGTATCCAAGTCATGCCCTTGTGTCTCTAGTTTGCTGGCAGTTTTACAAGTAAGGGATATTGGGATTTTAGGAAATGAATTTTTAACATCTGTCAAGCTGTTCAAGTGACTTTTCTCTATCATGACTATCACATAGTAGGTCTGCTAATATTAATTAAGCCCTCCCCTCTGTTTCTCCAAAACCCTGATATAGTCACAGGATGTTGTTCTTTTAATGTACGTCTCCTTTCCAGGTTAACAGTGGTTACTCATGATTGGTCGGTCTCTGGTAAATTTTTACTTTATCTTATTTGTGCTTTCAGATTTTTCTACAAAAGTTGCCTATTACTTGTATAGTAAAATTAAGAGCTTTACAATGAGAAAATACTTTTCTTGATTTTATTGGTTCCTTTTATTTTGGAATTTCATATATTATTAATAAGATGAGTAATTGTGATTTTTCTGCTGTCTTTGTCAGGTGTTTTTATGTGAACCTCCTTTAAAATATATCTTGGGCCAGTTTCTATATCTTTTTCTATGCCCTGGAGTATATAATTCAAATAATATTTAGAACACCTTGATCTTTGAAGTTTTTATAACATGTATAAAACTGTCCAAGTCTAGTGCCTTTTAAAGAAATAATCCTTTGATAATTTTAAAACTTTTTCCATGCTCATTGGTCTCCTCACAATTTCTTATTCTGTAATATTTTTTGACAAGCTAAATTTTCCTAAATAGCTGTCTTTAAGATTTTGGGGATCTGTTGGAATGGAATTATATTATTTTTCCCTTACTGTTATGTCTATGCTTTCCACTTTTATTCTGGTTAGTTTTTCAATAATTAGTCAAATTTTAGTCATCTTTGGAATTTATGTGTAAATTCCAAAGTTTTATTATTTTGTAGTTGCTTTTCCTTGGTATTTTTTTCACTTTTTCAAGTTAAAGGCCATCTTGACTTCTTACAGTGAAAGGCACAGTAAATCATGTTGTAGGCCTGTGGCCTTTCCTCTGGACACATTTGTATCCCATGAATGTTAATATATGATATGATTGTTATAAATTATCATTTCATATTGGTGTTTATCTTTTACTGAGGAGTTATTTCAGATTGTATTTGGAGATTTCCAGATCATTTGCTATTTGTTGCTATTGCTTTTAACATTTCTTATAAACCTCTGCTTTATTACCTTGTTGTCAAAAGAGGGTACGGCCTGTACAATTTGTGCATTTTGGGGTTCATTAACATTTTGTTGAGACCTAATAAATTTTTAGTTTTAATAAGCAACCTGGGAAGTGGGAGAAGGTATGTTCTCTGAAAGCAACCATGTTTGATGTGTGTGTACTAATTTCACCTTCCTAAGCATACTGGTGTGGACCTTTTCATTTTATTTCCTTTGTTTATTAAAGACTAAGAAAGACTGGTTCTCACTGCCACTGTATGTTTGTCCCTTTCTCTTATGTATCTTAACAGTTTCTGCCTGTGTGTTTGTTTGCCATAGTCAAATGACCCTTTATATTTAAGGGAAAATTGTTTTCTGAAAATTTTGTATCCCTTGGTTTTACCTGCCTTTGTTGTAATAGAGTTGTTTATGTAGAAATACACGGCTCAGTAAAATCTCTGTGTGTGTTTTTAAAGTGACAGAAACCTCTCAGAGCCTGTGTGCCTCAAGATGTGCTGGAAATGTGTGATATCCTCCAGCCAAGGTCATTCCTGAGCAGAGCAAGAGGCTAGTCAGGATGGAGGCTGCCTCGCTTTTGAACAGAACGAAGGTTCCTTTGAACACGCAAACATTTTCACTTCCTGCTTGGACCAGCCTTGTAATTATGGACGATTAGGGGATGGGTGGCTACCCCACAGCTGATTTCGTATCTGCTGCAATGGGCCACACCGTGGCTCTTCCCCCCCTTCCAATATGCACTTTTCTTGTGCAGGGACTGGCTTTCTGAGGCAGTGAGAATGGACGCCAGTTGCCTAGATACAGGGAAAAAAAGCCAATCTCGGAGACACATCCTGCTAGAGCAGACATTTCCAGAAGAATTTCAACAGGCTCTGCATAGAGTAGTCTGTGCCAGGAACAGAACCACCTTTTCCCAAATACGTGGGAGGTGTGAATCCCAGCCCTCAGCTCAGGAATGGAAGAAATATGACCTGTTGTGCCTTCAGTTAATTTCTATTTTAAGCCCTGTTGCACCAGGCTCATGCAGTTCTGGGTTCTTTCTCCCTCCCAAGGTGAGTCTTTGGGGTTTGGGGGAGGACTTACATCTTCTCTGGGTTGTTTGTGGAGAGGGGCATGGGAAGAGACCCGTATCTGCAGAGACAGCAGCAAGCCTTTAGACTTGGCTGAGGACATGGGTTTCCCCTCCCAGTTCTGGTCAGGCCTCTGACTATTTCTCTGTCCTTCCCCAGGTCTGTTTTTATTGGGTCTCCAATGCTGTCCTAGGCCACTGCCCTTTGCTTCTTTCTCCCAGGCAGTTTTCAATGGCTGTTTGCACCTAGCACATTGGGGTAGCTGCCACATCTCACCTGAGTATACTGACCACCTGCGCTCCAAGCCTGGCCCGGCTGGTATCATCTGTGCTATTGCTGGCTCTTACACAGTGAGACGCAGTCCTGTGCTTACCACTTTTGCCATCTCCTCTCTGCCGCTGCTACTGTGACCACACCATCCCTGCCCTCCCCCTGGTCCTCTCACTCCGGGATCTCCTCCACTTCCTGGCTGCTCTTACACAAAGCTGCCAGAGATTTCTTGCAAAACCCTGGAGTAGCTCAGCTTCCAGACCCAGCTCTTCGGGCTCTTGCACCTCATAAGCTCATGCTGGAGGGCCCTGGCTGTTGCATTTTTCTCTGTGCAACTAATTGTTGATGTTCCTGAATCCTGGAATGTTCTGTGTTCCAACCCCTTCCTCGTAGGGCCAGGCTAACTCTGCCATGAAATCCAACCACTCCTGGGGACGCTTCTCATCCTCTAACTCTTACTGCACATAACAGGATTTTGTTCTGTGTAGACAGACAGTTTTGGGTATCCCAGGCTGGTGGTAGTGTTTTTTATTATTAATTCTCTATGTTTTTATTTTTGTATGGGGTGGACCACACATATCACAGAGCCCGTGTGGAGGCCAGGGGACAACTTGCAGCAGCCGGCTCTTTCCTTCTGCCATGTGTTAAGCCCAGGAGTTAGGAGGAGAAAAGACCAAATCCATGATTGTGCAATTAAAGCAAGCTGTGTTTTGGGGTGCACCTGAGACTGGACAGCTGGCTCTCTTACCCTAAGTCAGAATTTGAGAGAGCAGTCCCTGCTGGCATCTTGAGGTCCTTTTCATAGGAGAGATAAGGTATTCACAGGGTTGACAGTTGGCTGTTATACGTTGTTAGAGAGATACGAGGGAAGGAACAGGGTTAAGGACTCGCAAGTTTAGTGTAGGCTGAAAAACATGCAGTTTACATCAGGTTTAAGGAACAGGAATCTATTACTCACAGATAGCTATCTTAACTTGCAAGGACTTAACACAGGCACTTACCCTTTTAACCACCAATGGAAACCTTGAGCTGCACAAGACGAATAAGAAATTAACTGCAGTGTCTAACCTTCAAGATACTCTCTTGCTGTTTTGGTCTCACACATGTGGGTCCAGGGATTGACCTCAGGTTGTCAGGCTTGGTGGCATGTGTCTTAAGCCATCTCATCTGGCCTGGTGTTAACACTTGACATGTGTGTGTGTGCGCGCGCGCCTGTGTTAATTTATATGCATCATGTGTATACCGGCACCCATGGAAGCCAGAAAAGCGTGTCAGATCCCCTGGAGCTAGAATTACAGCTGGTTGTGAGTCACCCAATGCAAGTGCTAGGAACCCAGTCCATGCTGTCTGCAAGAACAAACGCTCTTACTCCCCAAGCCAGCCTTTGCCCCCAGATGTGTCTCTAAGGACCATCTCCAAGCAGCTGCCCTTTGGTCATCGGCCACTTCAGAAGGGCTTCCTAGAGTAAGGCCTCTGTGGGCTGCCTGGCAGTCTGTCTTCTAGAATGCCTTTGACAGAAAAATGGCCCCCAAAGAGGAATCTGTGATCCTTAAAGAAGGCAGAAGGGCCTTCAGATGCGAGGTTAGCTGCGCTGTCTGGGTGGATCCTCTGTAATCATGGAAGTCCTTATTGGTAGACTCCTCTTCCAAGCAGTTATCAGAGATGTGGTCATGGTAGACGGGTCAGGAAGCAAGGCCACAAGCTAAGGCATACAATGCAGGAGCTAAGCAAGGAGAGGGAATGGCTTTTCCCTTGGAGCCTTCAGGAAGTACAGTTCTACCGAACCATTGACATTAGCCTGTGAGAACTATGTCAGACTTCTGACCAGCAGAGCCTAAAGATTAAGTTTGTGTCTACTGTGGCGTGATGGCATGTGCCTGGCTGTAACCTCAGAACTTGGGAGGTAGAGGTAGGAGGCTCAGGAGTTTAAGGTCATTCTCAGCTGAAGAGTGGGTTCAAGGCCAGCCTGAGCTACATGAGATTCCCAACTCGAAATAGTGTGTAGTTTTAAGCCACCGCATTTGTGTGGTTAGGTCAGCAACAGAAAACTGGGCAGTCACATGAAATTATATAAGGTTTAAGAACTTCCATTCTACATGATTTCACAGGATATGTGGTGATTAATCAAAACCTTTTCATTCTAGCTGCTGCCACAAATTATTTGATTTCAGATGCAAATGAATACTCAAATAAACTTCATTTGATTGGTACAGCTTAATCTGGTCTATCAGGGTTCAGAGGATGCTGCCAGTGTGTGTGGCCACCTCACAACCAGACCCTGTATCCCCAGTCCAACCAGCTGGGTATGAGACACTGTCCCACTAGACTATTCACTTCCTACCTCTGAGACTGGGTCTTGTGTACCCTAGGCTTGCCTAGGGCTGACCGATGTAGCCAGGGATGGTGTTGAACTCGGACCCTTCCTGCGTGCTAGAATTACAGGTGTGCACCACTAGGCCTGGCTGTATGCCGTGCTAGGAATTGAATTCAGGGCTTGATGCATGTTAGGCAAGCACTCTGCCAACTATGCCCCAGCCATGGGCTTCCCCCTGTAGCACTGTTGTGGGCTAGAGGAGCAACACTGATGTCCGGGGCAAGGCTCGGTGATCCTGTGAGGGAAGGGAGCAGGAAGATCTGAGAGGAGACAACATCTCGGACAAGATCTGAGAGTGGAGCGAGGACAGGAGAACGTGTGTGGGTTTGCCTGAAGGATGGCGGGGTACAAGTCCAGTCACTTGAGCTTCAGCATAAGACTATGGGGAACAGAGACAAGCAGTGTGGAGACACTGGGTTAAAACCTGCAGTAGGGAAGGGAGCTGCCCAGAGGACAGCAGACAGTCCTCTGAGTATTGGTGTGGCAGTTTCAGGGCTGGCCCTCACCTTGCGTAGGAACTTCAAGGGGCACAAGTTGGTTGGCAGTGCTTTGGAGGGCACACTGGGAGGTTCAGGGTCAGACTACAGAGCTACACTGTTCCCTCTGTGGTCCTGAATCCCAGAAGTCAAGAGTATGGACTTAGCTGAAAGAAGGGCAGATAAGGGAGAAGTTTTGTAATACTAAAGACACAACTGGATCAGCAACTTTGGGAGAAGTCACTTTTGAAAAATGTCACTCTTTTGAAGGCTTCCCAGCACCTTACAGTTCTGAAATTGCAATAGAGAATGAAAAACAAACAAAACAACTGAAAGATAGGTGAAATTCTACAAAGTGTTCATTCTGTCAGTTTTTCAAATACCAAATTCATTCCAGAGGAGATTTCTGCCTGTGGTGAGAAAGGAGGCTTGAGGCAAAGCCATTTTATGCCGAGCAGGCCAGCTGCCCCACCACAGACACCCTTGAACCTGTGAGGGAGCAGGTACAGAGCCAGTGTGAGCTCTTGGGCTTTGTGATGGGTGGCAGACCCGTGGGCAGCCTGGCAGTGGCCTCAGAGGCAGGTCTAAGTGCAGCTGCTGAAGGGGTCAGGGCCCTCCCAGCCATGCCCGGTTGGTACTGACCAGATGGAATACAGAAGAAACTGAAGGCCTCTGGAAAGGAGAAAGGTGGGTTCTTTTAGTTTGGTGGAAATCCAGGACTGAGAGTTGGGGTACCGAGATTAAAGGACACCTGGGCAGCCTGACTAGGCTGCTGCGTATTGGTCCCTCCCCGTTCCTGACATGAGGGAAGATCATCCCCTGAGGTGAGCAATGCTGTTAGTGCCCCTAGCACTTGCTCAACCGAATGCTGAGCTGAACTCTTGGGAAATTTCCAACCCACCCAGGCAGGAAGAGCTCTGCTTTTGTAGTGTAGCCGAGAGCATTTCCTCCTAACACAGATGCATTATAAATACTGTTTATTATGAGTTTCTATAGTGCTCATACACAAAATACATTTTATTTAAATATTTAAAGTAATTCTGGGATATACGCAATTTATTCTGATTATTGCTAAAATCATGTTCACATTTGAGCCTCTAAGTCCGAGGAACCAGTGTCCATACACATGGAAGCATAGAGTCTAATGTATACCACAGGACTGTCCCTCCAGGTCAGACTCTAGAGTGGACACAGTACTGCTCCCACCTGTGGATGATGTGTGACAATCATCATGCCTCCACTGTCCTCCCAGTGTTACAGCCAGAGCATCACAAAGCAGTCTCTCAGGGAAGCCCTGCTGGCCTAGGGTTTATGGGCCTGTCTACCTTTGTCGCCTGGAGACCTAGCGGTCCCACTCGCCAGGGCTCTGCTCGTCATTGTCCTCCTCTGAGTCGGCAGACACTCTCTTGATTCTGTCCAGGGCTGCCCTGATGCTGCTCTCCAGGTCGCTGGTGCGCCTCGTGCTGGGATCCACACCTGGGCCTGGGTGGACCTTCTTCAGCTGCACCCCCTGCCTGATGGCAGCCAGAAGTTGTTCATTGATGGAGGTGCGGGGAGGCGGCAAGGCGGACACTTCTACTTTCCGGAGAGAGGCCCTGCCCTGCCGTAGAGAGGCCAACACTTCATCCATAGAGCCTGAAATTGAGCAGACAGCGAGGATGAGAAGATCCAGGCTTCCAGGCATACCAGTTCCTGCCATGATTTACCAAGCACGCATGTTGCGGTGAGCCGCCGACAGGGCACGGATGACTGTCAGCAGCGCTATGGTTTACCTACCTACCACCCACTTCTTCAATCACTGTCACCTACGGGCCGCCACACCCATCTTTTATTGAATTGCTTAAGACATCCTAAAGAGTTAAGGATGTTTGCAGCAAAACAATCCGACTCCCAGGGCAAGACTTAGCTCCCTCTAAATTGTATCCCCTCCATTTCCTTTCCCATTAAAAACATCTTGAGCATGTGCCCTCATTCCTCTACTTCAGTCATGGTGATTAGTCAGTGATGACTCACCCTGTGACAACAGGAGAGTAGGTTTCCACACACACACAGGCTTACAGTGATATAAGAGCTGCTCAGTGGGCCTGAGAGAAGGCGCTGGCCCATTTCCTGTCAGTGTGTTTAACTCCACCCAGCTTACCCGAGGTGGCTATGGGCTCTATTTCTGAGGGTGTGAAGTACTGTCAAATCACAAATTAGCTCAGAATCCCACGATACAAGGGAGAAGCTATTTTTAAAAAACATGGCACCCTGACACCCTAAGGAGGTAAAACTTCCTCGCCAGCCAGACACAGGGGCATGAGTATGGCCACTAACTTAGACATCTACCAGGTGAGACTTCAGTCATTTCCAGTTGGGGACAGAAGAGCTGTGCTATGGCTGACAAGGTCTGTTCTGTGCTAGACTTGTGTTCTTCCCCGATTATAGTCCCCTTGGAGAACTGATTAGACAACTCCCACAGTCAGGGGTTCTAATTCACACTTTTACTCTGCAGCACCATAGAGTAGTGTGTGGGTTGAACAGAGCCTCCCCCCAATTGTGTGCATCCAACCTAAGCTGAGAATGCTCCCCCACCCAAGATCTGCCCATATCCAAACTCTAATCTAGGCAGATGGGAGAGCATTCTTCATTCACACAGTGTTGCAAACCCTACAGATGGGCCATTGCCACCTGAACCTACAGGAATTTTCCTTCACGCTTTGTTCTGGACACAGAATGCTCAGTTAACCAAAACCAGCATGTAAATGTTCCATGAGCTTCACACTCATCCCTACCCCATGTTCTATGTTCTAAGTGGAGGACTCAGCCAGAGCACAGCATTTTACTAGGGTTTATATAAAGCAATTTTCACCAAAGCAGTAGGCTCGGAGTTCTGGCAAGTTTAGGCCAGTTTTTCTGAGACTAGAGAATCTGAAGACTAAATTAAAACTCCTGAGACTTCAACAGCTTAGGAACCCACAGGAGGGAGGGCAGAACTACACAGGGTTACCTGGATGATAGAAGTCCTCCAGGAAATCACATGGTCTTTCAGCAAACACGTCACACACTAGAGGGAGTGGCTGGTCCTCTGCTGCTAAAGTCCTGGGTCTTAAATTCTGATGAGAGGTAGTTTGAAAAGAGGACAGAGCAGGGAGAGGAGGGGGTGGGGGGGGAGGAAGTGGGGGAGGTGGGGGTGGTGGCTGTGGTGGTAGTGACAGGTCTTCGCTGGATGGAGGCAGTGTCTGGTCACCAACTGGAACAAAAACCTGGACAGGGACACTGCCACAGGAGGCTTGATGCTCAGGGGTTGTCACATTGGCTTCAGGTAATGGGGCAACACTTCTGGCTTTGCTGGAGGCAGGATGAGCTATCTTGTGATGAGCTGTTGAGGACCTCTTCTGAGAGCGGCCACCTAACAGGTTTGGCACCATGGATTCTGAGCAAGGCGTTTTCAGTACAGACTGAGGAGCTGAACACTTCTGAGGATAAAAAACTAGTGAGAGACTGGCCACAATGCACACCGTCAAAATGGTACAACTCTGCAAACAAACCTATAAACCAGCGCTGCCCTGAGCATGGGGCGTCCTGACCCATGAGAACCTCCTGGCCAGCAACACAGCCCCACGCTACTGAGCCTGTTCTCAGGAATTCAAGGAGCACTGCCTGAGTGGCAGCAGGTGCTGCCTTGAGCTTAGGGACCCTGGGCCAGAGTGAAGCCATATCTTTTTCAAAACCAAAAACCAAAACTAAACAGAAAAACAAAAACAACCCTCAGATTTACATTGGCTTTTGGGGGAAACTGGCCTAAACCTGCCAAGACTCAGAGCTGAATGCTTTGACCAAGTGGTCATATAATATTTCTCTGTAATCAAATGAAGATGAAAAGGATGCATATAAAAATTGTTTTAGACAGAGACAGAGAGAGATGGGAATAGGAACCTTCATTCCAGCAGAGCACTTTGGCTGTTCTTACGTGCCAATGCTTCCTCTTTGGTGATATCTTAGAGATTAGGAAAAAAAGCAGCTAGGTAGATCATGCAGAAAAAGTACTCGTGCAAAGAAGAGAGCCTGTCTTCAATCCCCAGAACCCACACAAAAAGCTAGGTGTGGTGGCAAGGCCTGTAACCCCAGAGCTGAGGTGGAGGTGTGCAGCTCCTGGGGGCTACTTGCTGAGTTCCAGGCCAATGAGACCGTGTCTCAAAAAACAAGGTAGATAGCTCCTAAACAATGACACTGAGGTTGTCCTCTGACCTTCACAGGCATGTGTGTGCTTACACATACACACTAAAGATAAAAATAAAGAGAAGCCAGCTAACACCAAAGGTAGCCGAGAGCCACTCTGAAAGGAGAGCAGGAACCTAACTATGTTGTGACGTCAGCAATAGCAGCTGTAACCAGACACACTAATACAGCAGCTGGGGGCTGGGCAAGAGGACTGACTTCGAGGCTACCCTGCTTGTCTGTGGTTTGAATACTCAGTCCCCAGTTGAGGGACTGATTAGGAAAGATTAGGTGTAGTCTTACTGGAGGAAGTGTGTCACTGGGGTCAGGCCCAGTCTCTAGCTCTTCGCCTGCTGCTTGTGGCCCACACATGCACGCTCAGCTACTGCTCAGTGTTCTGCCTGCCTGCCGCCAGCCTCCAACACGAGGGTAATGGACTAACGCTGAAACTGAAAGCCAGGCCCCAATAAACACTCTTTTATAAAAGTAGCCTTGGTTGTGAAGTCGCTTTATAGCAAAAGAACAGTAACTACTGGGCTACATCTTAAGACCCTGCCTCAAAGTAAAAACCAGCAGTGGTTCAGACTGTCGATTTGAAACTCTGATGTTCCTCATTTTTGTTCTTTATCATAACAGCGTTTAAAAACTCTATGTTACATGTTTATAACATGCTGCACTCTTTTCCAGTGTAGGTGACTCATTTCTCTCCCCAGATGAAGGTGGTGAGTGACTATTTCGAGAACTTACCTCCCTATATGCTCTTAGTCGCTCAAGGGTTTTCCGGCGCTCATGGTTTATCCATTCTTTTTTCTTTTGTTCCTCTTCTTTTATTTTGTCTCTTCTCTGTATGTAAACAAGCACATCCTTGTAAAGTGCCCACCATTCCAGTCGTGTGTGCATTCACAAGGAAAGGAGGCCCACCCTCATCTGTCCTAGCGTATAGTTCCGCAGGCTAGTCCATCGTCAAGCTGCAGCTGTCTCATTCTCTCAGGTACTCACCATCTGAATACTGTGATGCTGGTGAAAATGCCTCATACTCTGCCTGGCTTGTTGCAGTCTGAGCTGATGATTTTCTCGGCAGTGATCCTGGTGGGATAAGACAAGTAACATACATGGCTTTTAGTAAGACCATGGAGAAAGGGCTGGAGTAGAGCTGAATATATTATTAAACACCTAACATACTGTTCGGCTAATATGTCAAGTGTTTGGTTTACAATGACGGTCAATGATAGGTCCTCCTTACAATCATGTGACAAGGGCTGCCCTCCGGTGTCATCTGTTCCCAGCAGAGGGCTTTGAGAGATAAAATGTCTCAACCCTCTGATTGATTGGTTGGTTGATTGATTTTGGTGGGGAGGGAGCATTCACACATGCCACAGCACACAGGTGGAGGTCAGAGGACAACTTGTGCTGGAGTCAATTTCCTCCTCCTGTCATGTGGGTCCTGGGATGGGGACTCAGGTGGGGGGGGACTCAGGTGGGCATGCTCAGCAGTGGAGTCCTTTACAGTGCAGACAGCCATCTCAGCCCCACAATCCATTCTAATGTGATTGTTTAAACCCAAGTCCTCATGTTATAAATACAAATTCTATTTCCAAACACATCTGCAAAAGCATAGCCCACCTAGAAACACTTGAAAATTATGTTAAAACTGTACTTCTCTTATGCTTAGACACTCACGATAACCCTTCACATACAGGGGAATGCAGTAAGAATCCTAATTCACATAATTCTTATGTTAATCATGAGAGTTTTATCATTAGTGGATAGCTTCCTAACAGAGGAAAAATTTAGCTTAAGAGAACTGGCAGGGCTGAAGATGGTTGAGCAGTTATGAGTGCTCACTGCTCTTTAGAGGAACAGGGTTCAGTGCCCAACACCCACACTGGGCAGCTCACAGTGGCCCGTGACTCCAGCTCTAGGGACCTGATGTCCTTATCTGGCTTCCACAGGTCCCTGCATCCGTGTGCACATGCACACATGTAAACACACACACACAAACATAAAATAAATCTTAAAAACAGAGAAAAGTTGGAAGTTGGCCCTTGAAGGTCACGAGTGGCCCGAGCTGTGCTTTCAATCCAAGGTGGCATCTGAAACCTGCCCTCAGTTCCCATCCTGTCACCCAGTGAAGAGCTGCTAAGCTGGGCAGAGGAAGGAACGCTGTCTGCAGCGAGATGGTTAATGCTCCAGCTCAGTCTAAGCCCATGGTTCTCAACCTGTGGGTCAACAACCTTTCTCAACCCCTTGGGGTCAGACAACCTTTTCACAGGAGTCAAATATCAGATCCCCTACAATTCAAACCAGTGGAACAATTATAGTTATGACAGCAATGAAAACAGCTGTATCCTGGGGGTCACCACAGCATGAGGAACTGCATTAAAGGTCACAGCATTGGGAAGGCTGAGGACCACTGGTCTAGAGACTTGACAACTGGGTTTTTTAAAAAGGGAGGGGACATGTGTTGGTGAATTACCTGGCAGATGGCTAGATGGGTGAGGGGAGAGGAAAGAAATGTCCTGTAAGGAACCTTCAGCCATCTTAAAATATAGGAACTTGCTCTTCTACTGGAAAATATTATATTTCTTGGTGTTTTTATGCAATTATACTGTTTCAGAATTAAGAAAGCAAATGTGTTTCATTCTGCTTTGGTTTTGTTTTGTTTTGCCTTATTGGTCTTTTGCTTGTTTGTTTTGATTTTTAAGAGCTGGAGACAAAGAATGCAGTTTGCTGGATAGGGAGGTGGGGAGAATCTAGGAGCTGGGGGAGGAAAAAACATGATCAATTTATATTGTGTGAAAAAAATTTGCAATAAAAAACAAATCTGTTTTGTTTCACTAAATGTAATAGGAACACCATCTGTGACTAGCATTATTATAATCCATAATTTAGAATAAAATGTAATTCTGTACAGGTGATTAGTAGTTTCTCCCTAGTCTGGTCTTTAATTTTTATTTTTATTTTTGTGACATTGTGGATTGAACCAAGAACCCTATACATGCCAATCAAGTGTCTACTGTTGAACTATACCTGCAGCCATTTCTTTTTCTTTTTCTTTAAAGATGTATTTATTATGTATACAGCGTTCTGCATGCATGTATGCTTGCACACCAGAAGAGGGCACCTGACCTCATTATAGATGGTTGTGAGCCACCATTCGGTTGCTGGGAATTGAACTCAGGACCCCTGGAAGAGCAGTCAGTGCTCTTAACCTCTGAGCCATCTCTCCAGCCCTCTTGAGTAGCTGGGATTCCAGGACTGAATCACCAGCACTGCGCCCAGCTCCCTTTTTGTGTATTTTTATCTATTAAGTATGCATGGGCATACAGAGGTCAGAGGACAACTTCAGGGCTCTTGCTTTCCTGAAGTGAGGCTATCAGGCTTGTGTCATGTGCACTTTTATGTGATGAACATCTCATGGCCCCCACTCTTATTTTGATGACAAAGGTACTATGTATATAGTAGGTATTCAATAATTACTGAATGGACTAATCTAGATATTAAGGTAAACACTTCAATCTCAAAAGAAACACAATTTTTTTAGCACTTTAAATATATTTAGCTCTAGCCATAGAGATCACACACACACATAACGTTAATCACTGTGTGGGTGGCCTTCCCTTCAGAAGGCTCACGAGGGTACCTTTCTGTTCCTGAGGTGGGCCCTCCTGGTGCAGATGCGGCCCCGCTGAGCCTCCAGCTGCTGGCACTGCAGTCTCAGTGCTCTCAGCTCTCTGTTCTCACCAAGGTGCAGCTCCAGGTCCTGTGCCAAGCTCGGCAGCTGCTCGGGGCTCTCACATGGGTCGTAGTAGACCACTTCATCCTGCTTCTCTAAAAAGATTCAGTTTCCTTAGGCATGTTTACTCTGAGAAATAATTCAGAAATGTCTTTATATGTGAAGAAAGACTGGCTGCAATTTCATCATGTAGGGAAAACACACACTTCTTACATAGCTGCACCAACATGTTCCATGTACTGGAAAGCATTTTAATGGCCACATAGTATTCACTAGCTCAAGCAGTCTCAGAATATCCCAGTGTTCTCTTATTTCCGATTTTGTGGTGATAAACATCTCTGTGTGTGTGTGTGTGTGTGTGTTTGTGTGTGTGTGTTTACTTCTTCCTTAGCAAATGAAATGAAAGGTTTTTTGTATCTACTGCCAAAATGCTCCCAGCACAGCACAAGCTGACTCACCGGTCTTTACTCTTGATTACATACTGATTTTTAAAAACACATGCTTGTAGAAAACCCAAACCCTGCAAAACCACACCAAATAAGAAGTTTTCTATCTCCTCCCCAAACCTGAGTCCCAAAGGAAAACATCCTTCCAGAGTAACTTTTAAAAACTAAAAGTTCCCCCTAAATGTATAAAATGTTCACAACTGAAAAGAGCTGCAAAGGTGTTAGGTACCAGGATTAAACCAAATGCTGAGGTCCTGCATGAGAATCATTAAACTTGAAGGGACTTGGGGAAAGAGATGAAGATGTGAAGAGACCTACCATGATCTTGGGTGGGAGGACTCAAAATTGCAAGACGACAATTCTCCCCAAGTAATCTCTAATTTTAAGCACAATCCCAATCAAAATTCCAGGGAGTTTTTATTTGTTTAAAAGTTGCCAAAGTGATTCTAAAGTTCATCTGGAAGAGTAAAGAAGTGAGAAAGTCAGAGAACATGGAGATGCAAGGTACCAGGAGGCTGGCGTGTGCTTCACAGGTGCGGAGAATGCAGAGCCCACACTGGAAGGCCTCACAACTGAGTGCAGGAGGACACTCAGGGCACACCTATGGTGCTAGAGCCTTTAAAGCAGAGGAGACAATCTTTTAAATCAGTGACTAAGACCAATTTGGGTGAAAAGTTTTATTTTTACCATAGTATGACCAACTGAATAAATACTCTAAAAATGGAAGATACATTTGGCATGATTTTTATTTTTCTCAGATGCAGAAGCCACACACAAGAATAAGCAGGGTGTGGTGGTGCACTTCTATAATCCCAGCACTTGAGAAGTGAAGGCAGAAGGATCAGTAATTTAAGGCCATCATTGACTACACAAGCAATTCTGAGGCTAGGCTGTGCCAATTACATGAGACCTTGTCTCCAAAAACAAAAGGAATCAATAACCGTGTGTGTGTTTGTGTGTGTGTATGTATGTGTGTGTGTATATATATGTATGTGTGTGTGTATGTATGTGTGCATGTGTATATGCAGAAATGACAGCTGGAAGAGGAAGGGGACGTGGGGTAGGGAAGAACAAGGAATGGTAATGGAGATAGCGAATATAAGCAAAGCAGAATGATATGCATGTATAAAAATAGAGAAAGGTGGTGGCTCATGCCTTTAATCCTAGCACTCAGGAAGCAGAGGCTGGCAGATCTCTGTGAGTTCACAGCCAACCTCCTAGACAAGGTGAGTTCCAGGACAGCCAGGGCTACACTGAGAAACCCTGTCTCAAAAACAAAAACAAACAAACAAAAAATGTAAGACATCGCTAAGGAAAATTATGTGAGGCATGGTATGTAGGATCTGTGATCCTGGCCCTCAGCAGCCCTGAGGAAGGAGGACTGCAGTGGGTTTGAGGCCAGCAGCAGCTACATGGTAAGACCCTGTCTCAAAACACCAAAAAGAAGAGAGAAAAGGAAAAAAAGAAATTAAACATTCCAAAGAAAAATGGCCATTACATATGTAAGATGGTTTCAGTGTCAATTGTAATTAAACAAAAACTACAAGATGCCATTTTTCTACCAAGTGTCTGGACTCTTCAAAGAGAAGAGCATAAATACAGGAAGATGCACACTCTCATCTCCTGCTGATGGGGTGTCCTTTTATGTAGCCTCTCTACGGGCCTGTTATGAAATTGAGGAGTTAGAAACAATAGGGGGAAGAGGGAAATCTACTTCAAATGACTGTTTTATACCATTTTGGCATGTTTATATTAAAATGTTAAAAAAAAAAAAATCATTGCCCTTAACCCAACCATTCCATCTTTAGAAGTCTACTTCATAAATCATCAGGAATCTGTGCTACACACAAGGACACATGCAAAGGAATGTTTCTCCTGAACTGATGTTCAAGACAAAGAGAGACAGGAAATCCCAGTATGCCTGTAAAATGAAATACTATGCAGCCATTAAAATTCTGTGCTTTTTTAAAGATTATTACTTATATGAGTTTATTGTATATTAGGTAAAAATGAGGTTACTTGGTAGAGTACATGGTTTTGGTTAAAAATTGATACTCACTTTTAGATATGTAGCACATTTTAAAAGCCTACAAAGTCATCAGCAACTTGCTTTCACTAAGTACCTCTACATAAGGGGCATAAGGTTTTCTTTCTTTGTATTTCATGTGTTTGAATATACCACAGAATAAGAAAAATACTGAAACTAAAAACATTCAGTAGATGTAATGGGCTGTTTATAAGAAGAAATTGGTACTTGGTAATATTTCCTCAAATATGCACTTCAACATCTCCCTCTAACATAAACAGAAACGTTACCTTTTATAAGTCTCTTAACAGAGTCCAACCGTGTGACAAGGATCATCTCTTCATTTCTCAGTATCTCAAGCTTGACATCATACAACTCCAGCTGAAGCTCGTAATATTGTATTTCTAGCTCGTCCACAACATCTAAACTCTTTCCTTCGTCTGGAAGAGTTTCCACCTGAGAAAGAAATCAATTCATTAGCACAGTGAGGGCAAACTGCAAAGCGTTCTGGTGCTGAGAAAGGAGACAGGAAGAAGCACGTCAACTCAAGAGACAAGGCTGAACTCCTTCACATTCTCTACATACACTCCTCCCCTTAAACAAGTCGGCACACTCAAGCTCTAGAAACATAATGGCAATGAGACCATGTCATGGATGAAAGGTGTTGCCTCAAATTTGAATTTTGGCACTCTAACCCCAGTGTGACAGTGTGGAAGGGTTAGGTTTGAGGAGGTCGAGGCGGTGGGGCCTTGTGGTGGGGAAGGTTCTTAGTGGTGCTTTCTCCCCTGGACACAGGAGAAGCCCTGTGAGCCCACAGAAAGAAGGAGTGGCCACAGGCAGAGAGAGAGAGCCCTCGCCAAAGACTGAATCCAAAGGTACCTAGATCTTGGACATCTAGCCTCCAGAGCTGAGAGAAATAGTTAAACATATCTTCTGTAGTCACTCCAACAAGCAGCTGGATCTAAGACAGCTACTGATAAGACTCTCCAAGATTATGGGAACAGCTTACAGGACTATGAGCCTACGAAAAGCACATGCTTAGCCATGATGGGCTGGGGCTCAGTGGTGGAGAGCATGCTTAGCTTCTGCATGAATGGTGCTGGCTTCAGGACACTGGCACTTTAAATGTATACATATGCAGAGTGAGTGTGAGTGTGTGTGTGTGTGTGTGTGTGTGTGTGTGTGTGTGTGTGTGTGTACATGAATATACATTGAACATATTGCTGGACTGATCTTTAAATTGAGTCCCCCACTTCAATCCTAAACTCAATATTACAAAGCAAATCCTGGGCAATATATTTCAGAAACATCTTGAGAACCAGGAAGGGAAGCTTCTTGTCCCACCCTCATTAGTAACATATCTACTGGAAGTGTGTGTTGAGAAAAACAATGAGAGCTCATTACCAAAGCCTAGGATGAAAGGACAATCTAAATGAAAATGTGGTTTTAGAGAAAAGTTCTGTGTTTGTCTTACCCTTCTCTGGATTTCAGCTTGTCTGTGATTTAGACACAGCACTTTGGCTCGCATCAGCTGCAAAGTCTCCCGAGCTAACATGAGCTTGAGACTTTCTAGCCTGGGCATGGCTGTGGCCCAGGTAGCCTGGCCAAATCTCTTCTGATCCTGCTCCATTTGTTTCTGCATTCCTGAGTTTATAATTAATAAAATAAAAGGACAACTCATTAATGGATCCTGGGTTGTCTCTTTGTTGTCTGTTCTTATTACTAAAACAATTATCACAAAAGTAACAGCTAGTCATTGATAGAAAATTTCAGGTATTTAGTTTATAAGCAGGATAATAACAGCTCATGATCCACCTCACTGAGGCACCTACCTGCTTTTGTTTCTTGGTCCACACTATTTCTGTGGCCAGACAAGCTCATATGAACAGTCTGACCAACATTAAGATCATCACTCTACTTTCAATCTAATTTCAAGTCGTAATAGATTGGTGTGCTGGTTAGTTTTCATCAACTTGATGCAAACCAGAGTCACTTGGGAAGAGGAACCTCAACTGATCAATTGCCTCTATCAGACTGTCCTGTGGGCATGTCTGTAGGGCATTTTCATGACTGTTGATTGATATAGGAAGTCCTAGCCCACTGTGGGTGATGTCACCCCAGGGCATGTGGTTCCCAGTTGTAGAAAAAAGCAAGCTGTTGACTCCAGCCAGGAAAAGTAGCTCCCAGATGCGGCAGACACTCCCTGAGAACCTGCAGGCCACTATGGCCGGGGAAGCAAGTGGGCTCACTGCAGATCCTCCCCTCTCCCTCAGACCCTCCCAAACCAATGCCCTGATCTTATCCCTAGGTCTGCAGCAGGCCACCAACTGAGGCTTCCCTTGCTCTCTTCTCCAGGGAATCACACAGATCTTCCTCTCCAAACCTCTCCTCCTCAACCCCTTGCTTTACTCCAGTCCCCAACTCCAACAGGCACTCCTTGGAGACCAACAAGCCACTCCAGCCATGGAAGCAAGTAGGCTCACTGCAGATCTTCCCCTTTAACTCAGCTCCTCCAAGTCCAATGTTCTAGTCTCATCTCCAGCTCTGTAGCAGAATACCTGCTGTGGCCTCCCCTCATTCTCTGGCCCCATTCCCATGGGGCTAAGGGACCCTAGAGGTGTACACTAGGCTCCCCTGTGTCCAGTGAACTCCCTCAGCACCCCCCTCCTAGCCTACCCCTGTTCCTAAGTGTCAGCTCCCAACACTTAGAAAGACCTGTAACCCCTGTGGCCACATCTATCAGGATCCCAAAAGAATTCCTACCACGCAACACTCAGCCACCAAACTCTCCAAAGAACCAGAAAGGCAACAGAAACCAAAAAACCAAACACTCACCCAACAAAGACAAGACTAGATATCAGTTCCTAGAATTACAATCTTCCCAAGCCCTGATGCCTAGACACCAGCATAAAACAACAATAGCAGCCTGGACAGTGTGTCTCCACGAGAGCCCAGCAACCCTGCCACAGCAGGCCTGGAGTACTGCAACACAGGACAACACAGGACAAAGACCTTAAAATAACCTTTATGATTATGATAAAGGTACTTAAGGGGGAAATAAATAAAAACCCTTCAAAAAAAAAAACCTATGAAAACACAAACCGTGGAAGAAAATTAATAAAACAGTCCAAGGCCTGAAAGTAGAAATAGAATAAAAAAGAAATCCCAAACTGATAGAAATCTGGAAATGAAAAATTTAGAAACTCCAACAAGAACCTCAGAGGCAAGCCTCCCCAACAGAATATAAGAGATGGAAGAGAGAGACTCTCAGGTACTGAAAACAAAATAGAAGAAATAGACACCTCAGTAAAAAAAAAAAAAAAAAAATTAAATTTAAAAAACAAAATCCTGACACAAAACATTAAGAAATCTAGAATAGTATGAAAAGACCAAATCTAAAAATAGGAATAGAAAAAGGGGAAAGAAACCACAAAAACACAGAGGATATTTTCAACAAAATCATAGAAGACAATATTCCTAACCTAAAGAACAAGATGCCCAGAAAGGTCCAAGAAGCATACAAAACACCAAATAGACTAGAAGAGAAAAGAAATTCTACTTTGCACATAATAATCAAAACACTAAAAGTACTGAACAAAGAATATTAAAAGCATCAAGGGAAAAGGACCAAATAACATATAAAGGCAGACCTATTAGAATAACACCTGACTTCTCACTGGAGACTCTTAAAAGCCAAAAGGGCCTACACAGATGTTCTACAGACTTTTTCTAAAATGATTTATTTGGTTTTTTTATATGCATTACTGTAAAGGAGTGAGAGCACTTGGAATCAGCATTAACAAAAAGTTGTGAGCTGCCATGTGGGTGCTGGGAATTGAACCCGGGTCTTTGGAAGAGCAGACAGTGCTCTTAACCACTGAGCCATCTCTCCAGCCCTATGTTCTACAAACTTTTAAGAGCCATCCCAGACTGTTATTGAAAGCAAAACTTTCAGTCACAACAGATGGAGAAAATAAGACATTCCATGATAAAACCAAATTTAAGCAGTGTCTATCTACAAATTCAGCCACACAGGAGAGGCTTGAAGAAAACTCCAACCTAAAGAGATTAACACCACCCAAGAAAACACGAGGAATAAATTATTCTAGACCTGCAAATCAAAAGAGAGGAAGCACACACGTACACACCCCCACACCCACAGCAACAACAAAAACAAAATAACAGGAATCAATAAGCATCACTCATTAATACCTCTTAACATTAATGGTTTCAATTACCCAATAAAAAGACACTGACTAAGAGATTGGCTGTGAAAACAAGATCCATCTTTTTGCTGCATCCAAGAACATACCTTAACATCAAGAATAGACATCATCTCGGGATAAAAGGATGAAAAAAGATATTCCTATCTTTTTTGGACCCATGGACCAATGGACCTATGCAGCAAGCTGGACTAGTCACTTTAATATCTGACAAAAGAGACTTCAAACCAAAACTAATAAGAGATAAGGACACTGCTAACTAAAAGGGAAAATCCACCAAGAGAACACTACCTCTCTCTCTCTGTGTGTGTGTGTGTGCGTGTGTGTGTGCGTGCGTGTGTGTGTGTGTTTTGAGACAGGGTTTCTCTGTGTAGCCCTGGCTGAAACTTGCTCTGTAGACAAGGCTGGCCTCATACTCAGAGATCCTCCCTGACTTTGCCTCCAGAGTCCTGGGATTAAACGCATGCACCACCACTGTCCAAAGACATTGCAATTCTTAAAATCTATGCATGAAACACAAGATCAGCCAAGTTTGTAAAAAATTCCAAGGTCTGCAGAGGAACTTTAATCCAGCAACATAGATGCTCTGTTAAGGGATCACATCTAAAGACCTAGGTCTGTGTGATCTGGCTAGAATGCAGACAGGACACATACTCTTAATCCCACATAATGGCCTCTAGTTGAGGACAAAGTGGCATATCAGAGAAAGATTTGACAGAAAAGGAGGCACCCAACTTCTCACAAGAACAGAGAAGAGAAGCAACTTAAGAGTGAGACTTTGGGAATAATGGGAGGAAAGAGAAAAGAACCTGATAATGAAAGGAGCTCCACAAGAAAATCAACAGAGCCAACTAACCAGAGCTTAAAGGGGTTTGCTGAGACTAAAGTATCAACCAAGAACCATGCATGAACTGGACCTAGGCCCCTACAAAGATGTAGCAGATGGGCAGCTTAGGCTTCATGTAGGTCCTCTAATAAAGGAAGTGGGGACTACATTGGACTCACTTGCCAGCTTTTAGATCACTTTCCCCTGGCAGGACTGCCTTGCCAGGCTACAGGGGAAGAGGACGTGTCTTCAGTCCTGATGCAACTTGATGAGCTGAGGCAGATGGGAAAGGGAGCTCCCTTTTGTGAGGAAAAAGGGGAAAGGCAGTGAGAGAAGGTGAGACTGGGATGGGAGGGAGGGAGGAGCTACAGGATGTAAAATGAATAAAATAAGTAAATGAGAAAAAAATCTCCCATGCTCATGGCTCAGCAGGATTAACATAGTAAAGGTAGCCATTCTACTGAAAGCAATCTACCATAAAAACTTCAATGCAATTCCCAAAAGGACAATGTTCTCATATGAAAACAAAGAAACAAACAAAAAACCAGGATAGCTAAAATAATCCTGAATTTAAAAAAAAACAAAAAACAAAAAACAAAAACTGCTGGAGGTATCACAATTCCTAATTTCAAGTTGTACTACAGAGCCATGGTAATGGCATAAAAACAGACATGTTGATCAATGGGAACAAACTGAAGAATCAAATATAAATCCACACACCTATGGACACCTGATTTCTGATATAACAGTCAGAAATACACCCTGAAAAAGAAAGAAAGAGAGAAAGAGAGAGAGAGAGAGAAAGGAAAGAAAGAAAGAATGAAAGAAAGAAAGAAAGAAAGAAAGAAAGAAAGAAAGAAAGAAAGAAAGAGTCTTCAACCAATGGTGCTGCTGAAAGTGGATGACTGCATGTAGAAGAATACAAATAAACCATACTAACCCTGCACAAAACTCAGTTTTTGTGATGGTTCAAAGACCTCAACATAAAGCCAGGTATACTGAATCTGTTAGAAGAGAAAGTGGGAAATTGCCTTAAACTCACTGGCACAAGAAAAAGACTTTCTGAACAGATCAACACTTAGTAATGGGACCTCATGAAACTAAAAAGCTTCTGTATGGCAAAGGACACCATCAGTCAGACAAAGCAGCAGCCTCCAAAACAGGAAAAGATTTTCACCAACTACACACTGGACAGAGAACAAATACCTGATATATCCTTATATTAAGAACTCAAAAAACTAGATATCAAGAAAATAAATATCCCAATTTAAAAATGGAGTATAGATATGAGTAGAGAATTCTCAATAGAGGAATCTCAAATGGCTGAGAAACAAAGAAATGTTCACATCCTTAGCCATCAGGGAAATGCAAATCAAAACTACTTTGAAATTTCCTCTTTACACCTGAGGATGCTGGTGAGGATGTAGAGTAAGGAAACATTCATCCATCGCTGGTGGTCTCTCAGGAAGATGGAAACCCATCCACCTCAAGATTCAGCTACACCAGGAAGATGGAGATCCATCCACCTCAAGATTCAGCTACACCAGGAAGATGGAGATCCATCCACCTCAAGATTCAGCTACACCAGGAAGATGGAGATCCATCCACCTCAAGATTCAGCTACACCAGGAAGATGGAGACCCATCCACCTCAAGATTCAACTACACCAGGAAGATGGAGACCCAAACACCTCAAGATTCAGCTACACCAGGAAGATGGAGACCCAAACACCTCAAGATTCAGCTACACCAGGAAGATGGAGATCCATCCACCTCAAGATTCAGCTACACCAGTCTTAGGCATGTACCCAAAGGATACCTCATCCTACCACAGAGAACCTTGCTCAACCGTGTTCATTGCTCCTCTATCCATAGCAGCCAGAAAGCAGAAATAGCTTGGATGTCCCTCAGCAGAGGAATGGATGAAGAGAATGTGGCACACTTATACACTGGAGTATTACTCAGCTGTTTTAAAAAAAATGGCATCATGAAATTTGTAGGCAAATGGATAGAACTAGAAAAAAAAAAAAATCATCCTGAATGAGGTATCCCAGGCCCAGAAAGACAAACATGGTATGTGTTTGCTTAACATTAGCTGTTAAGGCAGTGATAACCAAGGTACAATCTATTGATCAGATGTTAGTTATAAAGTAATGAAATAGGGCAGACAAATAGATCTCATTAGGAAAAGGAAATCAAATAGATAGTTACGGATGTGAGGACTGGAATGGATCAAGTGGAGAGGGAGAGAGAGATGAGGGAAGAAGATGGAAAAAGACAGCTAAAATTAAGCACCATCTGAGGAGTGGTATGGAATCCTAACACAGTAGAATCTTCCTAAAATATTTACACATACAATACAGTAGAAGCATCCTAAAATATTACATATATCACATTTATATGGTAATACAAATTAAAAAAAAAAAAAAGTGGGGAGACAGAGCCCCATCTGGCATTTCTTGTTACAAAATGAAGTTTCCAGTACCAGGATTAGGTTACATCTAATTGAGTTGTTAGCCAAAGGGGTCCCATGGGGATCCCCAAACCTGGTGTGACCTCTGCCTGGGTGTCCAGTATTCTTGCTCATAAAAAGCTCTCCATGCTCTCCAAGACCCAGCCCATTGGCTTTCTTAAGTTCTATTTGCCAAGTCCTCTTATACCTTTGTAAATGCCTTCTCCATTCCAGGTACTATTCAGGTATGGGGCAAGCATACCCCTCAGAGCCTTCCATGAACACCCAATCAGACCCAATTGCTTTCATAGCCTTGTTTTTCTTCTTCAGCATTGTCCCTGCCATTTACCATGTGCTAAACGAACATATCACAGACTTCTCTCCGCTTACCAGGCTGGAAACTGTTCATACTTATCCTTTTACTGAATTCCCAGCACCCAGCAAATACACTGCCTGATACTGAAGATACATGCAAATGTTCTTTGAGTAGAATAAAAGTTACACAAATCCTAGTACAGCAGTTCTTAGTCTCACCTGTTAATGCTGTTACTGTTTCCTTAAAATAATTCACAGTGATGTCTTGGATAGAGACTACTGCCTCTTCAGCCCGTCTGCTCCATTTGCTGGCTTCCTTCCGCAGGGAAACCACCCTTTTAGGACCCAGCTCATCCTCATCCAGGGACTTCTACAAAAGAGTGATGTAGTGCCGTTAGGACATTTTGAAGTGATTGTGTGCACTGTTGCAGCCACTCTTCACTACTGCTTAGTCAGTTCCTGGCTGAATATCAGTGAGCTCAGAGCTGGGCACCACTGGACGATGAGAGTGTGTTCTGGGCACAGAGGGTAAACACTGACTGGCTTTGCATCACTAGACCCTTTCCAGGGGGTTGTTAGGTAATAATACACAGTTGTGCAAGTGAGATGTCTGTTGTTTAGCACTCTAGTGTTGCGTTTGCTGTGGTTTCTTTTAGGAACCTTAAATACTTAATACTTAAATGCATATAACATGGTCACCTAAAAAAAAAGTTAAACATTATCATGTGCCCCAGCAGGTCCACTTTCTAGTATATACACAAGAGAAATGAGTAAATTGTGTGGCTTGTGCTTGTAATAGCACCCTCAGAAGGCTGAGGCAGGAAGACAGCTGTGCGTTCAAGGTCATCCTGTGCTACATAGTGAACACCAGGCCAGCCTGAGCTACAGTTGAGATCCTAACTCAAAAAAAACAAACAAAAACAAAAACCAAAACCAAAAGGCCACCACAGGTGTGCACACCCATGTTGATGGCTGCACTATTTATAATACGTAAAAGGAGTAGACAATCCAGGTGTCCGCCACAGTGCCCTTTAACCCTCACATGTGTGTGTGCACACACATGCATGCGTGCACACACACAATACTAAGTAAGTGTTAAGGAAAAGTGTCCCGATATTAGAGATTGATACTTGTCAGACAATTTGAATGGAATAAAAACCACTGAACTGTACCCTTCTGATGAATGCTCTATGAGTCATGCCCTGACGGCCCCACACACACGCTGCACACACATGAAGACTCTAAACAACAGTGATGGCAATGGCCCCATCCATGGGTTAGAGAAGCAAGCAAGTGCAGCTTCCTGCCACGCCCTGCCAGTGCATGCAAAGACAGCCTAGCGCAGGGCGCAGGGAGGAGAGCACAAGCTCTCTCTGATGTCTCCCGATCCCTGCTGCTGGCACACAAGGCAACATTAACGATGCTTTTTCTAAACAGTGTCACCCTAATGCAGTGGTTCTCAACCTGCGGGCTGTGAACCCTTTGGGGGTCGAATGACCCTTTCACACCAGTTGACTAAGGCCATCAAAAAACACAGATAGTTACATTACGATTCATAACAATAGCAAATTACAGTTGTGAAGTAGCAACAAAAATAACTTTATGGTTGGGGAATACCACAACATGAGGAACTATATTAAAGGGTGCAGCATTAGGAAGGTTGAGAACCACTGATCTAATAAGAATCAGAATGCAACAATTACAAAAGTTTAAATGAATTAAAATCCGGGACCCCGCTATTTAAATTTGCCTCCCATTTCTAAGAAATCTACATGTATTCTTTTTTCTTTTTAAAGATTTATTTATTTTATGTATATCAGTGCTCTGACTTCATGTACTCCTGCATGCCAGAAGAGGGTATCAGATCCTAGTATAGATGGTTGGGAGCCACCACATGGCTGCTGGGAATTGAACCCAGGTCCTCTAGAAGAGCAGATTGTACTCTTAACCTCTAGGCCATCTCTCCAGCCCATCTACATGTATTCTTACAGGTGGAAAATAAGCTAAAGAGAATACACTTGTTATTTTTAATCTTCATTTATTTATTTATTTATTTATTTATCTATCTATCTATTTATTTATTATTTACTTGTTTATTTGTGTGTACTGGTGCTTTCCCTGCTTGTATGTCTGTGTGAGCTTGCTGGAAGTCCTGGAACTGGACTGGAGTTACAAACAGTTATGAGCTGCCATGTGGGTGCTGAGAATCGAAGTTGGGTACTCTAAAGAGCAGCAGTGCTCTCAAGTGCTAAGCCATCTCTCCAGCCTCTCCTTCGTCACTTTTGATTTTGAAATTGGGTCTTACTAAGTTCCCCAGGCTGGTTTTGGCTCTTCTGTTGCCCAGGCAGGCCTTTTATCAGTGCAGGGATAAAGTCCAGGATCTTGAACTTGCTGGCACAAGGTCTACCACTGAACAAGACTGCCTGCAACCCCAGCACTTGGGAGGTGGAGGCCAGAGGATCATGAGTTCAAGGCTAGCCTCAGCTATATTGTAAATCTGAGGTCAGCCTAGGCTACATGAGACCCTGTCTATAAACAGATGAATAATATATACATGTATACATATATCATCTAAATATAAAGATGAACACAAGTGAAATTACAGATTGAACCTTATATATAACTGAGATAACAATACAGGTCAGGTAGTAAGATAAAATATCAGGAGACATACCAAAATCTCAAGCTTACATGAGGTCGCAACTTCTCTCATATCTCTGAACGGCTGCAGTAAATACTGGAAGAACATGGCCGCCATGGTAACTAATTGCTGATATGCTTCATCTTCCTCTTGATAAACTTTCATTAATGCTATCATGGTGTTGGCTTTTCCATGATCTTGAAGAACCTAGAGGCCAAAATTAATAAATACAAAATTAATAAAGAAAAGAAACCCAATATTCTCAATTTTAAAACAGCAATTTTAAACTGTGTACACAGAAAAATGTTCTCCAACCAAAAGCCCTAATAACACAAATGTGGTTAAATAAGAAGGGCTGTCCATGGAAAACTACTATTCTCACAGCCACTCAACACTGTGTTTTTTCAGACTGTTTAATTAATATGAGGATAATAATTATAATATTATAATCTGCATAAAGGCTCAAGCCTATACTCTAAATACTTGAGAGGCTGAAGCAAGAGTTTTACTATGAGTTTGAGGCCAACCTGAGCTAAGTTAGTTCCAGGTTACCCTGAGCTACAAAACAAGGTCCAGTCTCAAAGAGAACAAAGACTATAAACTCTTCTGTGGAAATACTTAGTATTTCTACCCTCCAACCGCATTTGGAAGTTTTAGGTAGACAGATGAATTATGCACATGAACAGCTAGACTATACTAGCTGGGAATGAACTTGAAGAAAACAACTTTCCGGTGTGCAGATGTTGTGACTGTGGAGTGGGAAAGGGGCCAAGACGATAAGAAATGTCGGGAACCAATCCCGAGCTGGGTCTGTGGAGCCAGCCTGTAACTCAGCTTTGGGACGATAAGGCAGGACGTGTTTGAGGCCTTCGTTACAGCTACTTTCAGAGGCTGAAACTGGTTCAAACCCAGAGCACAAAGCTTCTGAAAAGCATGATGGGCACATAAGAGAAACAGAGTAAAACCTGAGGCTGGACTGTAGGATGAGAGGAGTGCTGTGGGTGGGACTAAGCCTGCCGGGGCCACCCAGAGTTCAAGACCAGCCTGGGCAACCTAGGAAGACGCTGCCTGGCAATATAAAGCCACAGGCTGAGGAGGTGGCTCAGCCGCAGAGTGCATGCCTAACATGCGCAAGGATCAAGGTCCCATCTCCACTACTGATTAAATAAACAGCCAAGTCTGATGCAAAATGATCAGGTTAGGGATCAAAAGCTGGTGGCCTGTAGTTTCCTCATATTACAAAGCGAAATATACACCATGTGAAGTAGGTATGTGAGCTACACAGAAAAGTATTACAAAGCGAAATATACACCATGCAAAGTAGGTATGTGAGCTACACAGAAAAGTGGTCCTAGCTGAGCGAGGTGTGGTGGCCAAAGCCTACAGTCCCAGTACTTCAGATGCTGAAGCAGGAAGATCAGCACAGTCTGAGGGCAGCCTGGGCTACATAGTAAGTTCCAGGACAGCCTGGGCTACTATGTGAGACCCTGGCTCAAAACAAAGACCCCCACTAACAGAATCCTTTTGATAAAGCCATTTTAAAAGACTCATTCTTTATTTAGCTTAAGATAATACACGGCAATCAAGATTTTGCTATGTGGCTGAATTCTTATGCCTGCCCTTCCTCATAAGAAACACAGGAAAACCACTGCTTAGAGGCCTCAGGGTTAGTTTCCTGGGAGAGGAACACACCTGTGAAAGGGAATCTCAATAGAGCAATCCCCTCCATCAGATTGGCCTGTGGGCATTTCTCAATTGCTAAACTGATAGAAGAGGGCCTAACAAAAGCCGGCCTTTCAACCTGGGGAGGACCTGGTCCTGGGCTAAGAAAGGCAGCTGAGCAAGGCAGAGAAGAGAAGCCAGTAACCAGCCTTCTGCCATTATCTGTGCTTCAGAACCTCCCCTGGCTTCCCTAGATGACGCTCTGTGACCAGTAAAGCAAATAGCCCCTCTCCGCCCCCACTGGCTTTTGTTAAGGTGTTTAGCACAACAACAGAAATAAACAAGAACAGTGGCTCATAATGAGAAATGGGAAATGTACAGGGAGTGTCCAGGACATAGAACAAAGATCTGACACTTAGCTCTCTTCAGGATACTGCTGGGTAAAATATACCGAGCCCCTTAACGGACTTTTAGGGTCTCTAGCGTTTACCACACAAATAATGAATTGGTGTGTCTCAAACAAAGAACCTTCCTATTTTTGCCAAAACTGATCAATAAAGCCTTACTTCCTGAGAGCTTTCCATTCGATCTTTATTGCTTGAAGAACAAAACTATCTTTTAAAAGTCATCCTCTAAGACATGTTTAGCTAACCCTCCTCTTTCGCAGGGGACCCAGAATTGCTTCCATTTAGCTTATGTTTTTATATCCTACGGGTACGCGTTGTTTTCAGTTTTACTTTCGAAAATTCTGGACTTTCCCATTACAACACCCGGCTCTGCCAGGGTTGGGGAAAAGGTGAAGGGCGGAGCTGGCTCAGAACCGCGAATGAGCTCTCAACTAGTCCAGAAACGGTGGCGCCCGCCTGTAATCCTAGGGACCGGAGAGGCTGAGGCAGAGGACTGCTCTGAGTTCAGTGCCAGCCTGCCTGAACCACAGAATAAGGAAGGCCCTGTTTCCAAACCAAACCAAACCCGGGCGTGGCGCAGAGACACACTCTGGTAATCCCAGCACTTGGGAAGAGGAGACCGGAGGATGAGGAGCTCGGGCCAGCCTGGGGGGACTGACACCCCGTCTCAGAAGAGACACACGCAAACACACACACACACACACACACTCTTGGCGGGCCCACTCCCTCCCCGCCGAGGTGCAGCTGCACCAGCGACGTCCCGGGACCCGCGCTCGGCCCGGCCGGGCGCCGCATGTACCTGGCGCAGCCGCGCGGCCGCCCCGTCCAGGCGCTGGCGGAGCGTCCTCTCGCGGAACTCGCGCAGGCCCTCGCAGTCGGCCGCGTCGCCCGGGGCCGGGAAGAGCACGTCGCGCACGGTGTCGCCGCCGCAGCCGTCGGCCGCCAGGTCCAGGTAGCGCTCCAGCTGCCGGCACAGCTCCTGCAGCGCCGCGTCGCCGGGGGCCGCGGGCGCCGGCCACACGAGCGCCCACAGCCCGCGCCCCAGGCCCCAGCCCGCGCCGCCCGCCGCGTCCAGCTCGGCCGGC